CCTGTGGAACGATTGTATGTGCAGACTGTCGACTTACCCCACAGGGTAAACAACGGATGTGCGAGTGCGTCTTGCCAATCGATTGCCTTGAGACTTCCAAGGTGAGAGCAGGAATGACCTCAGATGAGCGTCAGTTTTTATACGAGGCCATCCTCACACATGAGGACGTAGATTTGGCAGTCCAGAAAATCAACATGTATTGCGAACACGCAAGAAGCATGTTCGAAAAGGACCATCCAGGCGTAGATCCATACAGCCTTGATGATATCAGGAACAATCCTCCGAATACGTATGACAGCTCCACAGAGGCTCCAACCCTGGAGGAATATAAGAGCGTTAACAAGAGTCACATCAACATCAAGGACTCTAGAACAAGCAACCCGGCTTCTTTTCTCACTCTTACTGGCCACGAAGACAAACTGGTGCTCGATGCACATTACGAGATAGTTCGCAATAGGATGGCCGGTGTCAATGAGAAGAGAGAATACATTGAAGGCTCGAACCCAGATATCGTATCGCTAAATCTAGTGGTATTCAACTGGGGAAATATGGATCGAGCGCCGGTGCCCGCAGGGAATCCCAAAAAGAAGCTCAAACCTGAGAAGGGATTCGATTATCACCCTCTTATTGACATGTGCTTCAACAATTCAGCCCATATTACCCTCGTACTCGAGGCAGGAGCACTTGCGTCAGAGTACTCAATCGCAACCATGCGAAAACACGAATACAGAGGGATGCTAATCCACTCTCCTCCCAAGGAGCCTGAGGCACCATCAATGTACATCGGAGTCAAGGGTGACCCAACGACAGACATCGCTCTCGTCCACCACTTTTACCGTCATCGAACAATGAAGCCTAAGAATGGTGGTCCCAAGAAGCGACTGTGGGCATGCCACGGTGCGGTATGCCGCCTCACCTTCGGGTACCACAGTACCATACCAGAGGCAAAAGAATGGGTCCACCCATATTCTGGCCAAAGGATGACGAGAGACGAGTTCATGCAGATTATCGGATATGACCCACTCAAGGGCAAAAATCCTGACAATGATGGACCCACTGATGGCTCTTACCTCTCACCAGAGGCGTGTCTGACATTGTCGAACCTCGACCCCTCGCCGATTCTCTGTGAATGGAACGGCCATGTCGAGGGTGATGAGCCACCAGAGGAAGACTTTGAGTCATACGCAGAGATCTTCTCACAAGAAGCATCAAACGATCTTGACGAGATGTGGTGTACAAAAGGGCCTTACAAGGTCAGCACCATCGCGATCGTCCATTTCAACTCATACATGACTCATAAGGAAGAACAGAGGCGCGAACTGGTGAACGCGTTCCTCAACGAGGTTCTCCCTTTCAAGCCGGATGTAATTGCGGGGGATCTCAATAATATTGCGTCGAGGCTCACCTTAAAAGGTGGAGACGTTCACCCGCGAAACAGTTTGTTTTCTCTATAGCTGGAGAAGAAACTTGCAGCATTCAACAAAATAGCAGGAAGGCACTCACAAGTGCGACATCTTTGCTTGAACAACTCCGACCAGCACAGACTGGCACGTGCAGATCGTCTACCGGCCGACCCGGCGAAGAAAGTTGCTGACCTTGACTGTATCAACAGTTATATCCTTGACTGGAGTAAAACGCCGCACACGGCGTCACCTAGTCCAAGAGAGGTCACACCTGCCGCTGAAAGAACATACTGGGGACGAATCTCAGATATGTGGCAGGACACGAACAACAACAGGGATATTGATATCCGTCTGTTTGTTTCAGTCAAGCAGTACTATTCAACTTTTTCTAACCTTGACCTATGGTTGGGTCCCACTGACAAAGATTGGCACAGCCCATTGGGCTTCACGATACACCCAATCCTTACAAAAGGGAAACACAACCGGTCAGATGCCCAGGTCCAGAAGATCGCTGACAAGCGAAAGGCTTACAAGCAGCGTAATGCGGAATACTGGGGTTACAACGATTCATTCGTTTACTCATCCGGCAACAGCTGGTACGACAAATCGCAACCATCAGGTAGCCATCACAGATATGGAAGATTCTGGGAGTGGCCACAGCCTGAACGTCCCAGCGAGCCTGAAGGTCCTCCTCCAAGAAGGAACCAGGAATCATCGTCCTCTTCACAACAAGATCTACCAAGATCAAGGTCCAGGCCTCAAAGAACCAATATTGTTGACAAGCTCAACATGTCTTTGGAAGAGCTGGATGGACTAGAAGAAGAACCGTCACCAACAAAAAGTGACATCGAAGAACACGAAAGAGAAACATCAAACTTGATGTCTGCTCAGAGAGATGAAGAGGAACAAGAGGACGAATCCTCCAGCCGGAGAAGAAGAAGGAAGGCATCGCGTCCACCGTCTGCTCCGAGCGGCAAGGCACTCAGAACAGCTGCAACAGCAGCGGGGTTGTCGGGCTGGTTCGGACACCGCAACCGAGGTGGAGCAAACGCAGAGTCTACCAAGACTGATGAAACTTCACTTCCAGACTCACTAACCAGTGAGCAAGACTTCTCCGTCTTCAGCATCACGTGGAATGTGTTCCTGCTGCTAATGGGCTTACACTGGATGTGGAAGCAGATCACCAGGCCTCCTATCAGATGTATGGAGCGCCAACAACCAAAATCAAGAGCAGCAGCGAACCAAAGAGTTCCATTCCTCGAACCCGAGGATGAACCGCAGACGCGTGAACCTTTAGGACCCAACAGGGTCAATTCCGGAGAAACAACTGATCTGCGACCTATTTGGCATACTTCCCGAAGCGAAGTCTACCATCTCTCAGACAGCTGTTACCAGCTTAAGCAAGCAAGAGATGTTTGCAGGAAGGTGCTGTGCAAAAACTGCCTTCATGCAGTACAAGTTGCGGAGATTCGCAGGAATGATCCTTTCCAAAGAGGTGATACACGACCACGTGGCACCGAAAGAGACATTGAGCGCTTCCAGACCTACGATGATGCAAGTAACACTCCTCACATGACACAATTATTCCAGGATGCCTTGCATGCACAAATGGCCGAGGAAGCCATGCAGATTACCTATACATCGATCCCCAAGGGATCCTCGGCAAAGGCCAGAGGTACATCTGCACTCTTAAGTGCCGCATCGTCATCAGCGCCCAAGGCAATGCCACCAGGGCCTAACAAGGCAAACATATCACCTCCACCTAAGAGTCCTCCGCCAAAGGCGAAAGGAACAGTACCTTCTGCTCCTCCGAGACCAAAAGGTCCTACCAGAAGAGGAGGTCAAAATCGGCGTATTCAACGAAAGGCAGCTAGAGAAGCCCACAACAGTGGACTCGGCACCTATGCAGACGCTGCACTTGACCAAGCCAATCAAGGCCAGGCAATTAACGTTACGTGCCGAAACATAGTATCAAGACACGTCAGCTCTATCGATGCAACGGTAGAAGCAGCCGGCCAGTTTACACAACGCGTGCTACAGCACGTAGAAACATATGATGAAGAGGAACCGTGGAGCACGGAGTTCCTACCGATCGTGGAAGTCCTATTCAGGAACTTAAGCGGTGACGAAACAACTGTCATACATGACAATCAAACGGTAACTATGCCTCTTGCGAAATACACAGACCTCCTCAGAATCGCACAAGCATTGCGAGGCTCTATCCAGAGAGATAAGGAGGAAAGAAAGGAACATCTTGACACCATCCAAGATACTCTATCCAGAGTGGAAATCCTTCTCACAGCACTGAAGGACTCCAGGACAGTCTTCAACCAACTGGTCCATTCCTCACTAGAGATTGAGCGAAGAAATAACAATCTTAAGAATGTCCTCGAGACACTCTTTGATGACCAAAGCTCTGAGGAAGACCAATCAGAATCTGACAATGAAGAAGTCCTAACTCCTTCTGCACCACAGTACTGGAATAGCCTTTATGCCCACGCCTTATCTCCCTCAGGAGATGAAAGCGAAAGATCATGGGCGTCCTCAGACGGACAGCTTGAAAGAAGAAGGGCTGAACGGGCAAAGGCTAAGCAGCCGCAACCGGCAAAAGCCAAGGCAACTCCAATCAGCTCACAAGCTGCTCCAAAGGCCGAGCCAAAGGCGACAACATCCAACCATGGATATGATACTGCAGATGCCGCCTTCACCAGGGCTGAGAACAGATTATTCGGAATCTTTTCAAGTTCCGAAGAAGACCACTCAGACCCGGATGAGCCACATCCGAACGTTTACGCTCGAGCCTATGATCCAAACCTGGATCCGAATCTGAGATAAGAAAAGTCTCAGAGTTTCACAATAGTGAATCACAAGGCTCTAACAAGAGCACAATGAAGGGCTGCATAATTCGGTAGTAGAACATCACCAGACCTGATCTTGTACAGATGATCTCTCTGACAAATATGCAAGAGTGTGTGTGCAAAAACGAGTGGAGTGTCCTCAGCAGTGTACTTCAGTGCTATACCTAGCATACTTATTATGCTGTTTTTATAATGAGTCCAAAACTCCGCAACTGTGACAGTGGGCATAACAGTATATGTGTGAATGTGCGGCCATGCTTTCGGTAAAAGAAAATTAGTGTCTGTTTGAAACCATAAACCTCTAAAGGGGTAGCTCTAACAGGTATCTATAGCAATGGCTGCATGCTCATACATATACATTCCGCTGCCCATTGGCTCACAGTGGTTTTACCATATTGAGACAAGACAAGCTCTCCTTGCGTAGCAAGACAAAAAAACTACTGTCCGTGTGCAGGGCGCTGCCCTTTGATCCTTAGGGAATAAACTGGTCATACACCTCCTTACAAGGAGTATCCCTTGGGGGTGTATCGGCACAGGGGGAGGGGGGAGAGGGGGGGAGGGGGGAGTTTCAGGCAGGAAAAAGGAGAAAAAAATTGGTGGTCTCCTACAGTGAACTGGTTTGAGTCCAATGGACTGTGGGTGCTGCTTGCAAACAGCCATGGGGTACCCCCCCCCCTAGGTGCGCCCGGTAACCGCTCTCCCTGGACTCTGGAGATCCACCAGGTCTGTGCCAAGCATCGTGCACAGGGCCCGCATTTATTCTGAAAGCACGTCCTCCAGAGTCTGCATGAATGAAACCTGGCTGCAAGAGGGAGCTTCAAAGGCTTTCAAATCTCACGAAAACTTTCCGCCGGACGTACATGAAGAGTGCGTTCAGTTGAGCCGGGAAGCATAAAGCTTTTGCCGTTGAGCCCACCAGAGCACCCTCACCATCTTGCAGCATGCTGATCATGTCCAGGTACACTCCTTTTCAGCTGTCGGGCAGCCAGCGGTGATCTCCTCTACTTGCAATACCCACAATGCAAACAAGAGGCTGTCGGCTTCACCTCAGATGTCAGCACAGGTGCTAACATGAAATGCCAGCATATCAAGTCTCTTCACGAAGAGAGGGTCTATGCCGAGCCGCCACTGACGACCTCTACAGACTCCACAGTGACCAGCTTAAGCTCCTCGGCTCGAGTCTTGTGACTTCCGCGCCTCCCCTAAGGGGTGCGAGTGCCAAAAGCGTAAGGTCAGCTCTTCCGCCGCAGGGAGAAAGATGCCGCCGCACACCTTCGATGCCATCCGGGACTGGCAGCATGTCATGCTGCACGATGCTCGTGCGCTCATTCGCTAAGAAAACCATTTTGGGGCTCTTGGATTTCCGATATTCAAGGACTGCCCACTGCCCGTTTGATCTGTCAAGCACGGCTTTACGTTCGTCTGCTCTCTCCCTTGCAGTTCTGCTTGTCGGGGACACTCACACAATTGAAATGAAGAGCCAGTGACCTCAGCACGACAGAAAGACTTTCTAGACCGGCAGCTGCTCTGTATCGGACAAATTCGGAAAATGTTTCCCTGGCCCAAGCAACGAGACGACACTTTGGTGCCAGTTGATGTCAAGTCCTGTGCAGCCTTGCTGCCGTGTTCAGCATCGGCGACTCTGATTTGTTCAGTGCCTGGGCATGTCGCAAAGCTGGAGGTGCTCTGATGCTAAGGCTTGCAGAGGCTGGGAGGTTCCCATCTGACGAGTGTGGGAGTGACGCATCCGACGGCACAGACGGCGCCGTTGCAACGTTAAGCTTGAACCCGGGCGACCATGCGCTTCACCATGGCTTTGTTCAGCAACACGTCATCAGAGACCACCAACGCACCAGTCCTGATCAGGCACATGGGTTTCTCATGTGACAAGCAGGAAGTCCCCGATGTCCTCGGTAACGCCGGCTCGAAATCCTCCAAGTGCTGCCTGGACAGGGACTTGGAACCGCCGTCAATGTTTTCAGACACAGACATGGGATATCTTCCTTTCGCCCACTGATGCTATCGAAGAGCTCGTTGCTAAGCACAACCGCCAGCCGCGTCCCATGCCTCCCAGACACCCAGACAAAGCACCAGAGGAGACAGTAGAGGCCTTCCTTCACGGCCGCACAAGTCCAGCCTGCTACTGGCAGCCAACAGCGCGCCCGACGGAACCAGGGAGTCAGCCTTGAACAGCTTTGGGCTTCGGATTCCGCACGTGCAGAAGCAACGTGGTGTGCTGAGGTTGGAGCCTGTAGGATAACCTGAGCCGACTTCACTCTGACATGCTTGAACACGCTCCCTGTTCCGGCTTAAAGTTTAGTAGAGCAGCCCAGTCAACGTTCCCCATTATCTCCAGGGCATGCTTGTGAACTTCTCCCCCGGTGCCGATGAACAGAACCTGAGAGCGCGGGGGCTGGACAGTGCAAAGAAGTAGTGGTCATAAACGATCTAACAGGTCGATCTTCTGATGCTCAGCTCAGTTGCGCCCATTTCTTTACCATCGCAATCCTCGACACGGCCTCCTGCCTGCAAGTGGCGGGATACCAACACTGCCAGCACCCATAGCTGCTCTGGCTCATCCGAGATCGATTTGAAGCGCGAAGTGCCGCCAGGCTGCACCGCAGACCAGGTCACGCTTCCCTGCTGTGGCGCCGCTATAAAGGAGCCGCCGATCACCTCACAACGTTGCAAGGACATCACAGAAACGCCCTGTGCCGGTGGAGGCAGCTGGCAACCGGATGCTGCCGGGCGGCAGGCCAGGGGCGCCGGCCTGGGAAAGGCGGAACGCAACAGAGCTCGCGTGCGGAATCCCATGCACCTCTGCAACCTCCGCGGCCCAAGGCCGGTGCCCCTCTGTGCCGGAGAATCGGCAGTCGAGCCATATCTCCAGCTTGCAAGAATCGGCACACATGGCCGACCGAATTCAGCATGCATTCCCTTACACAAAAGGCCTTCCTACCTTGGAATTTGGTAGCCACCACCCTTTTCAATGAGGCTGTGTGTTTCGAAAAATGGTCGACCAAGATAGTAGCAGGTAAACCCACAAGGATAGCAGTGAGTAGAACCGTGACACCAAGCGGTTTTGTACTGGTCGACTCTGAACCACGAAGCTGGGATGCCACGCCATGGACACTGACGCCACACTGCTGTCATGGTGCATCATGGAGTATGGACGCCCTGCGAGCGAGCATGAGCCCGCTGCTCCGATCCCATTTTGCTGTTGCGCCTCGACGAGCCTCGCAGCGCAGTATCTTGACTCCCGCACGTCTGGATTGCAGGACGTGGAACTTGAGTGCCTTCGTGAGTCCAAGTCTGGCCCTCACTCCAAACCTTGCAGGGCCACCACACTGTGCGCCTTCTTCGCTCAGGCAAAGGAGTGACTTCCCGCCTCGAAGGTTCCTCCCTGGCTCGGGTTGCTCTGCAGACTCAGAACCTGGAAAGCTGTCGAAGGCCATGAAGCCGGACTGAGAAGTTCAGGGTTGAGAGGGGGGGAAACTCCCACGGCCAGCTTCATTCAGCGGAAAAGACTCGAGAATTCCCAACCTTTTCTACCGGCCTCGGCCTCACACCCACCGACACTTCGCGCACGGGACCCAGCAAGCACGGCGGGCGCGCGGAGTTCATAGTGCCTGCTTGGCATTGAAGCGTCTCTGACACAGACTGGGAATCCTCGGTGACTCGGCCGCAATTACATTTCGTGGCACGAACGGAAAAGTCCAATTGAACCTGCACCCACAAGACGCTGCAAGCGATGATGCTGAGAGCAGGGCACTGCTGGAACGCAGCCGAGCACGGGCATCGCTTCGGACCTCTGCTCTTGCAAATCTGCGACTCGAGATCGCCAGTGTTTCCGACAGCATCGAGCTCCGAGGCTGCAGCAACGGTGCCATCACTGGTGAGACGGCTGTTTGCCTGCAGGCGCACATGGCGCGCCAAACAGCAGCTTCGCCGACGGCACAGAATCTCCTGCCTTCTCTGGCTCCAGTGCTGTGAGCAGGTGTTCGTCGAATAAACCGTGCCCTCAGCGACGGCTCTATGCAGCACACCACCCTCACTGTGATGCTCTGCTCGATCAGTCAGGCTGTGGCGCCGAAACTGCCACCTCGATACGGGATCGGTCTGCACACTCCCGCATCTACATGAAAGGCTAGCCGAGCTGCAGTAGGTTCAAATGCCAGTGGGGATAGTCTCGCGCTAGTCCTGCAGCGAGGGTGGTGCTGGACGGCATCCTCGCATCTCTGCAAGAGTCTTAGGCAGGGGCTCGCCAACCATGCGGGACCTAGCTTTATCCAGATCACTCAGCCACAGGAAAAGTCAAAGTCGCTCAAACCTGGCCTGTCAAAGACTCTAACTCCCTCAATGCCATACCAAGCCTGCCAGTAGAGTGGAATTCACGACGGCCATGGGCAGGTGCAAGGAGTGGCCTCTTGGGGTGGAGCAGGTCTATCTCCGTCACGTCCCTGGTCCCCTTCGCACAAGCGCAATCTCTGTTGATGAGCTGCGCAGAATCCAGCGGCTCAAGTTTTTCAATACTGAGGTCACGACCGTTTCAACACGGAGCTTCAGCGTAGACCTCAGCACAGCACAGGGCTTCAGGGCTGTCTGCGCAACACTGCCCAGCTCAGGCAAAGCGGCTCGGTACGGCAGTGCGGACATTGGAACTTGCTTGATGCCTGGTTAAAGCTGATAGCGGCTGCATGTCTCGACTCCCAAAATGGGCCAAGATTGATCTCATCTCCGTGCCTCTGCCCCAGGCCGCCCCCACTGAGCGTCCACATCTTCCAAACTGATCTTGCCTGGCAGGTGCAACGAAGCGTGCAACTCGACCTGGAGATGCTGATTCAAGGCCGCAGGACCTGCACAAAACCTGCACTGCAGGCTGAAGGTCAATCGCGGAAGCCTGAGTTGAAGAAATTTCCGGCTACAACATCAACCACTCGTGGCATCGGGAGACCGGCGTAGGCTTTGGAGCGCAGTCCATGCGGGGTCTAGCTTTCAAGTCCTGACAGCACCAATTCAATAGTAAGTCATGGCAGCACGCTACAGACAGGACCTTGCAGGTGCATACTTGGCACAAAGGCTTTCCAACCCCTGCTGTGGGAAGTCCTGAAAGAGAAGCAATCCAGCCTGCGCATTCATGCTCGGAAATGCCCTTTTGAGCTGGGAAACTGGGAAACCATCTTCTGTGCATCCACTGTGGGAGGCACGTTGGCAGGAGGCCGCGGCGAACTTCCTGCTGGAGAAGGCTGGTCAGGTCTGTCAGGGCTGATGGCGGATTCCCAGGCCTGGCTGGCCTCGTCCCATCTCAGGCCTCAACAAAAAATAGGTGGAAAACAAGCCGGTGGACTGATAGCTGCGATTGATCTTGCATCCGTTTTGGAGTTGCTAAATTAAGCTCGCAGGCCAACGGTACTTCTGCACTAGTACATTGGCGATGCTGTTGCGCAAATCGATGCAGTGGTTGTGACAACGATGCCGCCAACACCCCAGGCTGCGGATTAACCCCCTTACCCTATCAACCACGCCGGAATTCTTGGACCCCTGCCGCTGCCCGGCTTCACCTGCTGCTTACGCTTGTCATGACATCCCGTTCGACTCGACGGTCCGCTTCTCGCTGCTTAAAGCCAGGCCTGGACTTTGGGACACGACCGCCGCCTCTTCAAAGGAGCGCGAAGCATCGTGGCACACACGTCGTCACGTCACGGACACAGACACATGCTGCGCTGCCGTGCACCTGGGGGAGTCCCTTTGGACCTTCGTGGCTGTCCGACGCCTTGCAGCTCTGCACATCACGACAGCAAGCGAAAACTGACGCAGGGCATCCGGCCAAGCTGGGATGCTGGCACAAAGCTGCACGAATCGTTCAAAAAACACCGAGAGGCTCTGTGGGTGGGTGGCTGCCTCGGCTCAGCGTCGACCAAGACCCGCCCATGCGCACGCGGCTCTGGTCAGTTCTAGATACAACAGAGACACGGTCTGCATGTCTGCTGGCAACGCTTTTCCCCACCATTCTCGAAGATCGGGTGGTCCAAGCTGCAACCAAACGCTTCCCGTAGCAAAACAGCACAGCTTCACACTCACAGACTTGACGGCATAGAACAGTTTGTGCATACGAAGGCTTCACCAGATTCCTCGTCTCCGAACGTCAGTCACCCCCGTCCGTCCCTGTCACTGCCTTCCCTTTAAAAACTGTAGGCCCTGCCACCCACGTAGTTGCCTCTGTGGAGAATTGATCCGCTCGGCTCGCTCGTTGCTTAGCTCCTACATGCCTGCCTGACCATACAGCCTGCTCGACACTGCGACAAGAGCACCTTCACTTCTTGCCTACACTTACTTCAAAAAAGACGCAGCAGAAGCAACCTGACCCTGTCCTGCTCGCAAAGCTGGCTCACTTTTTGCCTGCAGCGGCTCTCTTGTCCTCGTCTTTACCCGGAGACCCGGTGACTTGGGACCCTGGCTCTTGAGGCTCGTGTGCGTATGCTTGCGCTCGCGCGGATGGCAGGCTTCGTCCTCGGAGTCCATCTCCACTTGGGCAGCTTTGCGGGCATGGAGCCAAGAGAACGTGATGCGCGCGCTGCAGGGATCACCTTTTGCCCATCACGGCGAATGGCAGTCCAGACGAGTCCTCAGAACTCACCACAGACATAACTTGCCTCTTGCGGCTAGGCAACCGGTCCTGAGCTTTATCCGCCGCTTCTTTCACTTCTTCAACCAGCTGCCTGCACGATGAAAATGTCGCTTTCTAAGCTTTGGCCACACTTGCACTCCCTGACTACAAGTCCTGATCGGGAGACACGACGGGACTTCTGTGTAGCATTTATCCGACAGGCAGTTTGTCAGACCTTGGGCCTCAGTGCTTGCTTGCGCTGTCGGCGAAACGCCACAGCCAAGAGCCGGCAGCCCTTCGCTGAGGTCTGGAGCCTCTCATCCTCCGCCACCGTCGTTTGGAACTCTCCGAGGCAGCTCTGCAGCAGCCCCAGAAGAGCTTGAAGGCAGGCGCGCTTCTCTTCGCCAACCAAGGCGACAAACCTGTCGCCGACTTGTTCGTCTTCCAATGCCTCAACTTCCTCCAATTTGGCCACTGAAAGCACCAGCGACGTCTTGAGGAAGGTAGTTCCAATTGCTGCAGCAAGGTCATCCATGCGTGTACCCCCTTCACCCTCAAAGCGAGCAAAAGGCCTCACCAGCCCTTTGACGATGACATCGCCAAACAAGCGTCCTGGCATCGCACCTTTCACTGTCCTCTGAACTGCGGTTGCCCGAGGTCCAGCAGACTCGGTCAGATAAGCCTTGACAGAGATTTCCGTCTCCGCGCCGAGATCCTCGACAACGGTTCCGTACTCCAGAAGCATTTGGGAGGCCTTTGCAGACACCTCACGTACCAACAACTCCCCTTCCTCGATGGTGCGGGTGGTAACCAGCATCAGCAGCTGGCGACCTTCTCCAATGTCTTCCAATTCCAGGCGACAGTTTGCTTGCACTGGCCGATTTGCATCTGCAGAAATTCCAGGCACGTCCAGGGAGTCAACCAGAGGCACAAGGACCCACTTGCCATCCACGAAAGTAGCACGACCCAGGGCTGCAGCAAAGCACTGAAAGAACTGCTTGCGAAGCTTCTCGGGGTCGATTTCGTTTCTCTCGCATCGGCGACTGAGCCATGTATGCACACGCGCGGAGAGAGTCTCCACTTCCTTTTCTACCTCTGCATCCTGCAGCTCAGCCACCTTAGATGCTGGCTTATCTTTGCTTGTGGCTGCCTGCAACTTAAGATCTTGTGTTGACGATAGACGCAGGGCCGTTCACGAATCAAAAATCGGGAGGGTAAGACGAAATTCCACTCTTCAGAGGCGAAACCCGCTAACCCTGCAGTCGGCATGCGAACCGAACGAATGCGGTGCCTGCATCTCACTTAGTCACTATTTATTCGGGCACAGAGCAAGTGGCTGAAGCAAAAACCAGGCCACATGATTTTGGAGCCACAGAACCGGTTGAGCAGGTTGCCGCGGCAGAGCCATCAAATACTGCGGGGGCCAAGGTCCGGCCTGGCAGTCATTCACAACGGCATATGTACATACAAACAAGTGCCCTGATTGAACTACGTGTGCCTTTCCAGCTTGGCAGAATGAATGCACTATGGCCGTTTTGAGCAAACTCAGATTCAGTGGCCTCCAATTTCGTGCGCTTTACCAGCCCTCTCTCGACCAGCATGCGCCAGGCGAGCGCGAGTGCAGCATCGACTTTGTCCGCATCCTCACTGACTTCCCCCACAGACAGAAGTGCTTCGGGCATCAGCCCTACCAGCGGGCTGTCCTGTCAATATCGTGACATGCTCTGCCGGTCGCAGACCCTTCCCCGACTCCGCTCTTGAGGTGGGCACTTCGAGCCTTCTCGATCTTCGCTGAGACGACAAGCCGCGAATTCTGGACGACGATTGCAGGATGAACCTTGCACAACTTGTTCGATCTTGCCCAGATGCGTAACCGCGCCAGGTCCAGTTCACCAGGGCCCTGCAAGCAGATTGGACCCTCGTAGCTTGGGCACAGAGCCGTTGACTAAGCCACTAAAAAAGTCCCTTCTTAAGAAGGCGCGGCTTCTTAAAGCTCTGTTTTCTCGCCTCCGGGTCGGTCGCCCGCTCCTGGGCTTCCTCGGCCGCTTCGATGGCCTTCTCAGCCTCCCACTCAGCCACTTCCGAAGCCGACGCTTCCTCCACGCCGAAGTCCTCGAAGGACTGGGAGGGTACTGCCGTGAGAGGTCCGTGATGTCTGTAACGCCTGTGGCGCTTCCCATGGCCGTGGTGGTGCGCAAAGGGCACCGGGCTAGTCGCAGCCAGCGCAAGCGGCACGAAGCAACTTGGGCTCCTGCCTCGACCTCGACGAGGGAAATGCCCAGGTCTCGCATCTACGAGGCATTTGCCCCGAAAGCCGGTGTTGCTGATCACCGGCTTGAGAGGCGCTGCACCGGCATTGGCGAAATTCATGCATGCCACAGCATCACCCCGAACTCACCGGCGTGACTACCTTCACGACACGATCATCCCTCGCTGAGCCGTTACACGCGTTGCGGAACACTCACAACTCACGGCTGGAAGGTTGGAAAAAGGTTTGTCGCACATGTTGAGCCAGGCGCGACCAGTCGTCTGACCTTCATCCAAGTGAAGAGCCGCTCGGCCAGATCCTCGATCTGACAATGTCAAGGTTACGGGGCTGGGCCTGGGCACCTGGGCACCCCACCACCCTCAATGCTCCACATCGAGCACATGCTGCAGCCTTCAATGAGGGGAAACTCAGGGCTGATGTTGTCAATGCAGAGTCTCGGCCGGGTGCCAGCATGCTCAGGGCGAGGTCGTGGGGCGGCGGCGATGTCCTGTCTCGCAGCTCCTCGCCTAGAGCCTGCGTTCTTGTTCTTGGCGGTTCTTGGAAATGACGAGGCCGTCGCTGATCACGTGGATCCCCAGGCGTCATCTTGTGCAAGACGCTCAAACCTGGCCGCGAACTGACACGCTGTGACAAACCAAGCACCAATCGCGAGCCTGCAAAGCAACCAGGACATGGAGTAAGGACCGAGCACACATCCATCTTGGCCCACTGAAGGCGCTGTTGTTCCGGACCTGGGGATGTGCTCAAAACGGGCCAAGGCTGGTCGACTCAGAGGCAGCTGTCTTGGCCACCCACGGTCCGGCAGGTAAGCTGCCCAAGACAACAGCCAGCAATGCTGCACGTACCACACGAGGGGTGCCTCAGCTTGATCATCGATCCATCCTGGCTGCCCTCAATCATTCTCGTTCCAGAATTCGTGCAAGCAGCGGAAGGCAGCAGATCGCGGGAGGGAACGACACCAGGCCTGGGCGGAATGTTCCAGGTGGTGCTTTCAAATGCCGCCAAACCTGAAGTAAGGGCCGTGCCTTTCTGCTGAAACAGTCGGAACAGGCCTGGGCCCGAGTCATGCTGCAGTCCCATGCTCGCTTAATGCTACACTGCTACACATCACCTCGCAGCACCGAAAAAACACCTTCTGCACTGTCGCTGACTGAGGCGTCAGCATGGCCTGCAACAACAGACGAGCGCAAACATACCCGTTTGATGACCCCTTTGCATCAGCCCTAAACCCGGAACCGTAACAGCCCTAAAACACGGTGCACGACAAAAGATCTCACTGCTCCTCCATTGGCCGAGGCTTGTAGAGCCGGTTCCTTACAAACACAAGGTCCAAGCTTTACAGTTGGATGCAATTAATGCCATATGAAATATGAACACCGTCTACCTACCTACATTCCTAATTATCCCAATTAGCTGCCTTCTTGCCGGCTAACCTACTTACTGACCTGTCCGCCTACGTTGTCACAGCGCAAAGTTGTCATCTTGTAGATATGTATGCACATACATTCCTACGTCCAAACATCCGTACATCCCGACATCCACACATGCACACAATGAATTGTGTGTGCATTACCCGGCATATTCCGTGTTGCCTTCTGACTTCTGGTTCTCCACAAGGCTGACATCATCATGCTCGAAACTGCTGCAAGGCTGGCAAGGCTTCATGCCTGAGGTGCTCACTCATCCAGGTGCCAGACCGCGCCTGCACGGCTCTGCACCATATTGCTCCCTTTTCTGTTCGCATCATCTTCTGAAACTGCCCTTACCAGTCATGCTGGAATACTATTCTAGTCTTGTGCTTGTACCTCAAGCGGCTGTAGTCTGCAGTTGCTCGATTCTCGATCGTTTTACTACTATCTCTACCCATGGTCTTGAAACTAGACAATATCCTGGAAGCTGTGAACACATCACATCCACCTCGGCTCGTTCGATCGTCTTCGGGCTCTGCCACCTCAGCTCGTTGCTGGGTGCTTACATTTCGGCATTGTTCATCTAAGGCTTAAGGTGCAGGCACTTCCTCTTGGAGGGTCCGGGACACGAACTTCACGGTAGTGGCCTTCGTCGAAACCACGGAAATACATTGGCGAGAGACTGCTATAGCTGGCGATCCTTTTTCGGAGAAGTCCAAGCTCAGGAAAGGCGTTGCCTCACGCAGAAAGAAGTAGACCGCAAGAGCCACAAGCAAGCTGAGCTTAACTAAGTGCTTGGAGCTAAGACCGTGGCTGTCTTGCTGAACATGAAAGTCTTCCGGTTCAGTTTTTGTGCCTTGCGCGAGGTGACGAGGCAGGTCGCTTCAACTGATTCCATTGTTTAGGCTGCCGACGATGACTTCGTCGAACAAAACAATATCCTTCGAATCCTCGCCCGATAACAACCGACGGCCTGCAGAGCAGGGACACTGTCTCTGCAAATTCTGCAGTCTGCGCGGAACCCGAGCTCTCAGCTTATCCAACTGGCCCACATTTGGGTCGAGGTCAGTTCTTTCAGAAACGGGCGCTCCGTTTCAGAGCCTTTGGCACAAGAGGTTTGCGGAGACACATGAGGCACCTTGCCTGAGCCCAAGTTCGCCGCACTTTGCTAAAAATCCAGCTTGATCAAATCCTGAATGCCCGACATGCAATGGGAATAATGGGAAGTGAGACAAGAGAAACACCGCAGAAGATTCTGGGACGGCGGTGTAAACAGAACCTCGATGTTCGGCTGAGCTCCATACCACCATCGAATTTTCCGTTGGTGAAGCGGCTGTGATCCACAAGAAGATCTGTCATGAACCTGGCCATTCAGAGCAGGTGTCGGCGCACGAGCTTCGCCCGGCAAGAAAAAAGGCGGCTGCACCACAAAAATGCTCTTCCTTGGCTGCACGCGCTGAAGGAACATGTACATGTCAACGTACTAGCAGTATAAACACCAAGTCTTGCCACGGCACTGATCATGGAGTCCAGCTCCCCTTCGGGCGGGCCTGACCCCTGCCAAGGGCTCCGACTCGCTCATCGCAAAGCAGCAAGTGGAGTTGCAGAATGATGAAACACCCAAGTCTGAAGCAGTCGGGAGCGGCTTTGTTCCCGGCATCGCATCCGCAGGCTTTGGCGGACAGTCTTCTCCAGGACTTCTCGGGTCCCCCGGCGTGATTTTCTCACGCTGCGCCGCACTGTACACTTCATGCCCAGCAGACTGTCAACGCTCGATTTGGAGCAACGCAGCCAAGCGGAAAAACAGGCGAAGCACACGAAGTCAAGGCTCCACCAAAGGAGCCGACAGGAAGGAATGAGACTCTCTTTCTGAACTTGTAAATCTGGCGCAAATGCCGTAGACCAATAGGGAAATTAGAGTTCCAAAAAGCCCGATCGCAGCAAGCAGAGCATGCGCCCCGCAATCAGGTGCTAGTGCCTTGCCAGACGGCCACGGAAGTCGTAGCCAAGTGGATCCAAGGAGCCCCATCTCGGGGAACCCATCGGCGAAAAAGAGCGGTGCTGTTGCTTCATCCACCAGCTCCTTTGGAAACCACCTGAGCACTCTCCAACAACACCCAACTCCTACGGAGCGCCAGGCCTGCCAGCGTCACGGGAACACGCACCGAAATGCGTCGATTTCGAAGTGTAGGCAGCATAAAGAGAAGTCGACAGTCAAGGTCAGATCAGAAGAAAGTAAGCAGGGCCGGCAGGCACGAGCATGCACGCACTTTAGCTCCGCGGAACATGTGCTTCTGATTGCTTCTGTCGCTTCAGGACGCAGCACCCCGGCCTGGCAGCTCCAGGTCTCGTAGTGTCGTAGATATACCTGCTGCACTGCTGCACACTGTAGGAAGGATTCTCAGACGAAAGCATCATGAAGCATTTTGGCAGCATGAGTTTGAAGGTTCCCTTGCCTGGTGTGCGGCGTGCCGGGAATCGACTTCGTAGGTGGCCAGATCAAGCCCAGTCGTGTTGCAGTCTGCTTCGCAGCAGCAACATACTTGATGAATGCTGCCGTTCCTGGTATCGGGCAGAAGGTAGACCCGACTGCTTGGATTGGGGAATCCTACCAGAAGCTGAGTCAAGCTGAGACTCGATTGAGTGCGCGAGCTGCCTGCAAAGCAGACGGCAAGCTTCTGGCACTAACTGCGAAAAACTCAACTCAGCCGTTGCTGCTCGGTGCCTGCCACAAGGGCACCCCACTGCCACAACCTTCAGAGTACATAGGAAAGTCGTGCCACATACCCACGTGGACATCCACATGAACGCCTTGGATTCAACAGCGGACCCTCACCAGACACAGCTTGCAGATTCGGGGGTGCTCTGAAAGTGTGGAATTTAACCATTTAATACTTTACAATATTTTTCTATGGTAACTATACTATCTTTGTACTGAAAGAAAACAAGGTATAGCATAGTCTAGTCTATTGTGGTATAGTTCCGATCTCTGTCCGGTGGCTGGTCCCGTAGAAGGCCGCCTTCTGGGCCAGGATCATGCTGTCACCGAGGATGGACTCGGAGCCGCCAACTGCAAAAAACAGTGGCGGAATGCCTCCACCTCAGGGCATGATGTAACATCACGGTATGTTGAATATTATGTCATACTGTATGATATTACAGCATATTCGAGTTATGATGTGTTATAGTATCTCGCAACATATTATAGTAAATTAATACAGAAGTATGGGTAGGAGCGTCGGGAGGAGTTTAGAGATCAGATGCGAGGGCTACAAGTCGGGAGTTCAAGGAGATATCCACCTCCCAGCTCATCCACTGATGCAAAGAAAGGGGAGGCCAGGGGATCTGTGAGCAGGCTGTCATCATCGCCCACATAGCCTGAAGTCCCAGCCCTATCTACCACTAGCTCCTTGCGAGCAACAAAAGAACCAGCATGAATGTCCGATCTACCTGTATCGCAACAATGCAGCTTGCCCCGGCCCGCTCGCCGACACATCAGCGAGGACTCGTGCGAACTGTTCCGGGACCCGAATGGGGGGTGGTCGAACCGAGACATGGAGTCAAATCAGGTTCTGCAGACTGCGTCGGAGGCTAATTCGGGACACGAGCGCTTTCGGACGTCCTGTGTAGTGTGATTGCCTGCCGGCGGTGTTTTTGGATGATGCCCTCTGCTCATGGCCAGACTGAATTTGGGAAGCGCGCAGTTTGTGATGGCCCAGTTTGCATGGTTTTTCGTGACCGTCTAAGCGTCTAAGAAATTAGGGAAGCCTCAGGCGTGGTTTGCATGGTTCTCGGAGCCGTTTTCGACAGTTTGGAATTTTGGAAACAGGCTTCTGGATTTTGGAAACAGGCTTCTGGCATCTTTAATACTCTCGTTCCCAAACATCGTGTGGTGGTGGCGGCTTGGATCCAACCCGAATCGGCTGCAATTCTGAAAAAGTTCAGGACATGAACCCAAGCCACCGAATTTTGGAAATCTCGGGTTGCGCGTGTTGGCTTGTCTGTGGGCTTCTGAAAGCCGACGTGGCCCAAATCACCTAAAAAGAACCCCCCCCCTCCCCGTCTTTCTGAAAGCACCCTAGTCCTCCTAAACCGCCCTAGCCCTCTAAACCCACTTCTAAACCTCCTACCGAGTATGTAGATCCATACAAACAAAACTCTCAGACTCGTAGTCTCGACCCCCTGGAAGTGTACCGCTGTAATCAGAATTGAAATCGTCGCTCACCAGTGGATGTACTTTTTGATGCGCAAAACATGTACACGCATGTGGGAGCTTGGCGGGGCTTGGTACTGATCGCACGGAGGTGCAAGTAAGCGAATCTGCGTGCGCGCGCATGAACGTGTGCGCGACTGTCGGGCCTGATATCGAATCATACTCGCGCTCTAAATACAAGCACAGCCGTCCTTAAATGATCTTGGAAGCTCTTGGCATTCACCGTGAACTCGTCCAAGTTTTCCTGCGGATGACCTCGAAACATCAGATCGCCAACGTAGGCCACCCCGGAGTCAGGGTCTTTGAAGGCCTTCTTGTCCACAATCTTGGCGAAAGCGTTGTAATAGTAATCCGGTGTGTCACACTTGAGGTTCGTCCATGGACTGAAGAACACAGCGCCTGCTAAGATCTGACCTCCTGGAAGCTCCTCCGGTCGCGACTCCCGGATGCCCTTCGGGCTCCAGCCGCCACTCTCCTTCAACTTCAGAGTCCTTGCTTGGCGTTTCAGAAACTGTCACTTCCTACAAACTACAGGTTCGCTACATCTTGCTAGGTAGGCGCCCCCCTTGTTTCCAGGCCAGGCTCAGGGACATTGCCGTCCCACCGCCCGCTGAGTCACCCCCGACCAGAAGTGGCGCCACTCCCGGCGGGCAGTGCAGGTCTCCCAACGGGGCCTCCGCAAGCCAACGCAGAGCATCAAGGCAAGCTTTGAGAACGACCTGATACGTCCCGACAGGCGCAAGGGGAAAGTCGGGCACCATCACCACAGCGCCAGAAAGCCCAGCCAGCTTGGAGGCCAACTGGCCATAGGAATAGGTATCAGGACTGCCATACTCCCAGCTGCCCCCATGAATCCAGAGCAACCGCGGGGTTTCACAAGTAGCGCCTTCAGGTACCCACAGCAAGTCATCCTCGGCTATGGCTCAAGATGCTGATCGAGCATGAAACATGGCATGAGCTGAAATGCAGACGGGAAACGCCACGATAGCCCTTCTTATCGTCGTAGCAGGACTTGCCGCACCACCAGCCAACTCCGACGCGCCGCACGACTGTCTTCCGAACACCGGGTGCGTAAAGGCTGTCGAGACAACAGCTGGAGTTCCGAACGATCGAAGTGTAGCAGTACGCCACTGTTTCTGAAATCAGGTCCTGCATGTACTCGCACGGCGTGCTCGTGCTGCCTAGATTGTGGTTTAGCGGATTTCCCACATTACTAGCGCAAGCAGCTATATGACTTTACAGTACGCCACGGATACCATGTCAGAATCCGGGGTTTGCTATCCGGCCAGCCCCATCCCTTTTTGCAGCACTGGCTGTCCTCATAGGGGTAGTGCCCGTTCTGCCAGAGAGGTTTTTCGTGCGCCTCTACCAACAGCCCTAGCGAAAGACAGAGAAACTGCAAGGTATCGGGCGGTCGTAGCATTTGCAGCGCAAACTAACACCGCGAGGGTGTCTTCGGAGCTTCAGCTGCTGCGGAGCCGCTGGACTTTCCAAGATTACAACTGCACGGACGCATGCATCCATTGACGACTCTCGCATGAAACCTTCTCTGTTTCTCGCTCTACCAGCACTATGAAGTTCGCATCCAGTTCACTACTACACTTCGCTGTTCAGCAGCGCTTCGGTGAAACAAATCGAGAACTCCTTGGCCCTCATCTCATCTGGTACACACGAGCTTCGCCTGCTTCCAGGGCCACAAGGACCTGCCCAACTACGCCCGGATTCACTTGAATCGCATTCACGGAGCCAGCATGCGTGTCCAAGTGGCACCAAAGCTTTTTCAGGCCGGGGATCCACAAGAGTAGTAGTCCCGTTGCATGACCTGAATAGATGTTGTTACCACCAGGGATCACAGCCAAGGACTGCACAGGCCCGGCAAAAACCGCATACATGTCTCCCAGGTGCTTGCCATTGAAGACATCCCACATTCGGATCATGCCGTCTGCCCCACCGGAGTACAAAATGTTGCCGGCTGGCGCTGACACCAGAGCATTCACTGCGCCATCGTGGGCTTGCGGGATCAAACTCTTCAGGAAGCCGTTGTAGGTAATCCAGACGCGAATGCTTCCAAATCCATACCCCACAGCGTAGAGGGTGTCGAACGGAATCGCTGCTATGCTGGTTACAGGCCCCCAATTGTCCGGCTGGTAGTAGTAGACAGGGACGTCGCCCCAACGCGTGTTGGTGAACCAATTCGTCCATGGGGCAGTCCTATCGGCCGGGCGAAGTCTGCGCCCCTTCACATCCTCAGACGTGTTGCTCAGGCGGCGCGAGTTCAATCCAAAGAGGTTCTTCCTCCACTCCGTGAAGGCCACTTGCAGCTCACTGTCGTGGCCTTTGAACTGATCTGGCCAGCGGACGAAACCAGCATCCTTGTCAATCTGCCACTTCCACTGATCTTTAGGATTGGTTGGCACTGACAGGGTCTTGCTCGCCTTCCAATGCCAAATCACTGTAAAGCTGTCCTCCTGACCGACAATGGCCGTTTCCCAGGTGTTTATGCCGACGCACGAGGTGGTCCCGACACTGTCGTCCCCAGTCGTGTACTCCATGGAGAGCACACCAGAGTCCTCGGGGCCAGAACTGCGCCAAACGATTGCCTCAGTCTCGCTGGCAGCACAGAAGAAAGTGGCGTCGTTGAAGGTGCTGATCGTTTGGACTGCAGAGTAGTGGGCGGAATAGTTCCGAATCATCTTTCCATCTGATATCCTCCAGATGAAAACCAATTTGTCATCTCCCCCACTGACGGCCTGGGTGCCACCAGCAATGACATCAATGCCATTCACGGAAACAGCCTCTCCACTCTTGTGCCAAGGGAAGACAGACAAGATGCCGAATTTCAGCAAGTCTTCGCACCGTGGAGTTTCCTTCACCTCACAACCTGGCTCCACGAGGCCATTCATTACCCTCTCGAATGCCCGGTGGTTCCACTCTTCGGTAGGCGTGGTCTCAAAGTCAAGGCCTAGCTTGGTCTCGCAGTACTCGGTAAGGGTTTCACACGACTTGCATGCCATCGTCCATGCAGTCAGACCGTTGCCGCAGTAGTCGTCAGTGGTCTTGTCGTAGCAGCACTGCTCCTCACAAGTGGATGGGGTGCAACGCTCTGGTGGAAAGGGCCTCTGGCACGTTGTGGCTGCTGGACAGGATGTGTCGGCGCACCGACCCTGACAACAGGTGTCCTCGCACTGAGCTTGGCCTTTGCATGTCTGGCTTGTTTGCCCTGTCTTGAAATAAGAGATCTGTCTTGTGAGAAATGTAGGGCCCAGAGCCGCCGAGCAGGTGAAGCCTGGGATGGCAGTGCATGCGATGTTGCCGCAGCACTTGTCGAGGCAGTCCGTAGAAGTTGCGGGACTCTCACACTCGATATTCGGGTCCAGTGGAGTGGAATAGATGTCGCATGTCACTGTGGAACAGAGAACCGTTGCAAGGTTTCGTGGGCTCCAGCTCATCTCCTCCATGGACACATCGTTGGAAGACTCGACTTCTCCGACACTCGGGTTCAGAGAAACTGTGGCCAGAGCTAAAAGCGCAGCCCCTAGAAGACCAATCAAGCAAGCCACCTGGCGGAATCCCAGACGTCCATGCGTCACCTCCTGGAAGGATTCGGGCAAAGCTGGTGAAAGCTCGCTGTCCGCATCACCGCACTCTTGCCGAGAGTACTGTGAGCTGTGCTGCGTGCACGCAGCTTCCATGGCAGCAAGCTAAGCTTCCGGGGCTTAGCCCGACAACTCGAGAGCAAAGGCGATCAGCAGGCAGCATCGGGTTCGCCTCTGACTCCTTAAAGCCTTACATAGCAACTTCCCAGCGTGTAGCATGACACGGGAAGGGAGCGGCCTGTTTGGACAGGATGTGCTCTGGTGAGTGAACATTGTCCTAGGCAGCAGCAAGCTTGCGCCGGGCAGCCACAGTGGGAGTGCTCTGGGCTCAATGCCGTAAGGACTAAGCGATCACCTCGCAAGCTGGGTCATGCCAGTCGCACTCGACTTGCTGGAACGTGGCCTGGTGTTCGTGGCGGCGGTTCGAACGCTTCCGGCAGTGACACCTGGGAACATCACGAAACCGCAAAGGATGAGATGCCTGCAATTCTTCCTAGTCGCCTTCGGTCTTTGCTCAACGGCTTAGACAAAGCTCGAGGAGCCAAGATGGAAGCACAACGAATGACAACTACGTACCAGTGACTACAACTCCTATCAATAAACTGGATCGTGGCGAAAGCTGCACTGGCTGGCCGCGGTGCTGCACTTTTTGGACAGCTTCACTGGTCTGTACAGGAGACTTGACTTGATGCAAAGCCTGAGGAACGAGGCCGCCTGCAAACAACAAACAGCAACGCAAAAGCGATCGTGAGAATAGAAGGCTTAGCCTAAGCAATGTGCAAACGACATTTGCAACGCTCGACTGCCAATGCACTTAGAAGTAGCTGACGAGTTAGCCTTTAAAAATCAAGTTTTGTTTGGAGCGAGCTTGGCCTCAGGCAGAACATGACAGGACTGTCCTCACGCACCGATCGACGGTGAGAAAACTGGAAGCTACCTTGCCCTCAGATCTTTTTGCGGTAGACCTCACGGCAGAGAGCAGCGAAGTCTTCATGGAAGCTAGCCCCAAGAGAGCGGTCTCAGGTTGCATGCAAGACTCCGTCTCCGCCGAAGGGGGGCCAGTCTCCCAAGATGGACCGTGGTGGACGGGTAGGCCCTTGCTGGGGGCTGCCTGCCGCCGAGAGCTGCAAAGGACTTTTCCCACAAAAGATCTCTCCGAAGAAGTGCACACCCGCACCCGACAAGGTCTTGCCTTTGGGGAAATCCCTGCATAAATATCCTTTTCGCCTTTTCATAGCATCACAAACCCAAGTACCAGGTAGCGGTTTTCGCACACCTCCATCACCGCATGAAAATGCCGCGTATGCCTCCAAAGCTGAAGTAACCCAATCAAAACGCCCACGCGGCTTGGCGAGCTGCGTCAGACTTGTGACGATTGGACAAACCTTGACTTTATTCCAGCTGCGGGTGCGAGCTGAACAGATTCGGTTCAGCATTATCGCAGCTTGGATCAGTTGTTGATTGCGGCTGTCAACTGTGGCCCATCGAGTCAGCTTGACGCTCACGTGCTGCTTTCGCCTGCATCAGCTTCTGCTCATCGTGAAACCCCATGTTTCTTTCCAAGCTTGAGCACAAGGAATGCAACCACGGCAACACAAGACACGACCAACTGCGACGATCACCACCGAGTCACCACTGTCACTGTCTCACATCGCCGTGCGTAGCAAACCGACCCTACCTTCTCGACGTCGAGGTCTGAGCTCAAGACTTGTATCATTCAAGCTTATACCATTCTCACATAAAGTGAGCTGATGCTCCGGACCGGTGCCCAGCAAATCGGCTTCCGTCCAAAACGGTTCCAGTGCTGTCGCAACAACCACATTCGCTCTATGGTCGTCAAAACCAAGCAGACCCGATTGTGGGAGAAGAACTCCTTGGGTCCGTGCCTTGAATTGCGCGCGATTTTAAGCGGGTTTGCACCCCTGAGCTCCAGGGCCCTCTGGCCGCTTCTCCGGACTCCCGTCTCGAGGCCTCCGCTTGTATTGCGCTTGCGCTCTAACGTTCATCGAACGCTTGACTCCCCACGGCTCATCGGACGGAGTTGTAGAACAGCGAGATTAAGCGTCATAATATTGTAGTGTCATGCCGGACTTTTGCTCAAGACCGCGGACCGTGGCGGGACGCCCTTGTGATACCTCAAGGGTAGTAGAATGCCTTCATCGCGCGACTTTCATGAAGCATCACCGTGCGGGTGGCAGTGTGTAGGTGGATCTTTGAGAGGCAGAAGTTAAAGTTGCTGTATAGCTTGTTCGAGTTGGAAAATTCTTCGTTGCGGTATATTGATGGCCGTGGTCGCTTCACGAGAGGTTTCCAGGATTACACAGGGCTCCGCTTATGTAAGTTTTGTGCTTCTGGCATTTTCGGGGCAGACCTATGCAGACCTCCGGCTCTAGCACGAGAGTGGGCAACCATGCAAACGACCCCAAGTATTCTGCGTCATTGCGAAGACGGTCTGCTAATCGCTCGGCTTGCTCTGTCAGGCTTAGTGCGATGCGGAGCAAGTTCAAAACCGCAGAGAAAGCCTCCAACCATCCTTGAGTTTGTCCTTCGAAGGTCTGCCGGGCGGGGCTCTTTAATGAAACTCACTCTAGGCATGGTCGAGCGCACCGCGTTTGCCAAGCTCGCGAAAGCAGGTACACCCCTTTGTCTATGCATGCCCGGAGCCCCGGTTGCTTAAACAGCGCAAGTGGTGACCCTCGCTCGCTAAAAAGGGACCCCGCCTTGTTACCACCGCGAAGTTCTTCGTAGCCGTGAGCGAACGTGCATTGCGCCCCTTTGTCGCAATGGCCCCGCTCGAAGTACTTGCACAGGTCTTTCTTGAACCTCCTAGCAGGCGGCAGGCGGCTCGGCTGGCAACGCGAGGCCGTGAGCCTGCTCTCTCCAATTCCATCGAGCTTCGGAGCTTTGGAGCCTTCACCCCCTTGCAGCATGCCTTGCAAACCACAGGACGGCGTCCAAAGCAGAAAATGTCTCACAGAACAGTATTGAGCAATGGCTGTGACTGCGGGCAATGCACCTCTGCGGGACTCTGTCTCAGGCTTCCTCACTTGCAAGTTGCAACGGCGCGTGAGCCCGGCCAGCTAAGCCTGCAGGTGCTAACGCCCAATAGTGCCAGCCGAGTCTCGAAGGCTCAGGTAGCTCTTCATCAACCGCAGGTGCAAAGGCTTTATCACTGCCTGGGCTCCGATCGTCAAGCGAAGCATCTGCAAAATTCTATCATGAAACCTTTAAAAACACTTTTGACTGAGAGATATGTGAAGGCAAAGGGGCTCCCAAGCCGCATCCCTTTGCACCGCGCATTTATCAATCGGAGCGTTGCCTGCAGAACGGAGAAACGGACCCACGCTGAGCCGCCAGGCCGCCCTTGTGCCTCCTCGTTGGTCTCTCGCTTGGCATCTGCAGCTCGGTATCCGCCCGTATAGTCCCAGCGCACAGAAGACCTTTATTAGAGTAGTGGCGTCACCGTTAACATGTAACAGCCTCTGGAGTCTGCGTGCTTTTCTCCACCTCGGGCGGCCGAGGGGCTTTCGCTCCTGTTGCGCTTGGACGCGGCGCGCTCGGGCCGCCTCTTCGGATTCCTGGAGTTCCTGACAGAGACAGCACGTGTAGCATCCACCGGCCCTGGGTTCTTTTGAGTCTTTAACCATCTTGAGGCCAGAGGCCTCGGCCGGCTGCGGCTCGATGGCGGTCTCGGACGGCTGCCCTGCGAGTCAGCACTATTGCACCCTTACCCCTCGAAACTTCTGTGGATTTGCAAGGAGTGCGATCTTTGGCCTGAAGCCCAGATGACCTCCTCTCCGTCGCTGTCGTTGCTTTGAGAGTCTTGCAGGGGAGCATCGGCGCTCATCACGCCCATGGCGACGAAATGGCTTGTCCCAACCAGGCAAACCTCAGCACGCGACGTGAGTGCCGTGGGCCATGACCATCTAAGCGACAGCCTTCCATGCGGCTGAGGGACAAAGTCGAGCATCGCCTCCTTATGCGGCTTGTATGCTCAAGAGTCAGTTACACATCCAACTGCCGATGTAACGTTTTCAGTGCCAGGTTCAATTGCGACCAGCAAGCAGGCATTGTCGCGACATCCTGAAAGCGCATTGCACAAATCAATGCAGCCGGGAGCTGAGTCCAAACTGCCGCGGCCAACGCCACATTCACATGGAGCGGCTTTGCACGCCAAGCCACTGCGGGATGCACCGAACAGGGCCAGGAAGAATGATGAGGCAACCGCCGCTCGAGACGTCAGCTCGCCGTCAGTCTCGATTTGCAAAAGCGCTTCTGGCGGCATGTCATAACTAATGTATGCTTGTTGCTATTCCATGCACCGGGACGTGTTCTCTGTGCTCTGTCTCTGTGCGTGCACGCGACACGACGCTTCTTCTATCACGCAGCTTCTTCTGGAGTTCAGAGTTTCGGTTCTGGCCTCGAAAGGCTTCGCAAGTCCAGTACAGACGAGGCTTCCGCTTGAAGAAGGGGCCACGAAAGCTAGGGCTAGGTAGGGGAAGGAAGCTTAGCAGGGAAAGGCTGGGGCGACTCGTCGCGAATCTATTGCATAGCACAGCACTGCGAATCACTCGAGCGTGGGGGAGGTTTGGCATAAATATGTACAACTGAAAGTTTCAGGATGCACATGCCAGCCAGCTTTTTGACATCCAGTTGGTCAACGACATCCTGTCAGTCATGTGCTCAAGAACCACCGTCTTTTCCAAATGCTGACCGTTGTTGCAACTTTCACATGCAGAGGAAGCACCCATCTGGTTGGCATGTGCCAACCCTAGAGGGCGAAAGTCGCAACACGCAGCTGCATGTGCAAACACAAGGTTCGCTGTAGCTCCCCGTGCAGAAGTGTAACTTGTCAGAACACGCAACACGCATATGCTTGCGTATAATGAGGCGGAATGGTTGCAGTCACCCAGGTCGCCATGCTGCCAATTCTTGAAACTGTTGCTGGAAACTCGTGGTTGCGGGCACAGGTGTGCACTGCGCAAGGACAGTCCAAACGTGCCCTCCCCTCCCCCGGCCGTGTACGCAGGGGAGGGTCCTCCTCGCGCTGCCCCACTTGAACTCTTGTGACAGGACGAGACAAGGTACTACAGACACGATTTTGATCTGGGTCACGAGTTACTGCTTGAGTGAATTGGTAAACGTCAACTCCTTTCCAGCTCGACAGAGCTAGTTTTCGTGACCTCGGCCCAGAATGCCAGATGCATGTGAGGAGACATGCACACCCGGGCCTTTCGGGAGCCCAGAATTTTCCGAAGTGGGGTAGTGAGCACGACAGTGCACGCAACAAGACTTCGAGGAGCCCGGCCTAGCTGCAGTGCTCGACAAACTCCAGCCAGGTTTTGCTCGCCAAGGCATGTCTGAACCACAGTTGGCAGAGCTTCCGGAAACAGGAAGTGGCCTGGCAGTCTTTCCAGGCTTCCAGCACGAGCAATGAAGCTCCTCTCCTGCCTATGAAACCGGCGCATCGCCCTTCGCATTCCCCTTCGGCCAACAGCAAATCAACAGGATCCACAGATATCCACCATATGCGGCATCTGAGGCCCTTGAATTCGGCAAGTTAACTTTCTAGCCCAGTAACTGACCAACTCGGGACACTTGACAGGGGACTGCTGCGTGGTCAAGCCGATTAAATCGCCCAGCTTCAAACCTTAGATCCAGTCATCTCTTTCCCCTACATGCTGATGCTGCCTTGGAGGCCGAGTGCGACTGAAGCACCGTCCTCAATTGCATGCTTCAGCTTGAACCGTATGGCTCCGATGCTGGAAGCCCATACCTCCATCGGTGCAGAAATCTCATGCTGTAAATCATTTCCCAGCTACATCACTCGCAGGTCTGTCTCGCACAGCCTGAATCCCAGCATCTGTCGTGGCTGCCGTCTGCTCCTCTGTTGCCACTTCCACCGAAGCTTCCGCTGGCGAACGCAGCTGGCGTTTGTCAGGCGCTTCGGTTGGTCTTGCCCTCCTGGTGCTCTGCGCAGAGCAGGCCACACACAGGCTGTAGTCGCATTCGCGACCTGGAAGTGCTTCGTCAGACTTGCAGACATCTGGTCGTTTTGCTGTTGGTAAGCGCCGGGCAATCGAAGAAGGTTGAACCCGGCCGAATGTCCTGGGCACGATCCGCGAAGCCGCTTGGGCTTTGCATGCCTGGTGCAAGCCAGGAGCAGACTTCGTCTCGGCCAAGGCACGGCACCGCAGCAGTCACATTCGTACTCATCCTTGAAAGGCTCCAAAGGCTGGATGAGGGTGAGCACAAGAGTCCCAAATTGAAGTCCTTCTGTGGGGAATCCGTCATCCCATCTAGCAGCTAGCAACATATAGCAACCTTCATCCCACCAGAAGCCGAGACGGACAAGTTCCGCTCTCCATCGGCCGAGGTTCCGTCGCGCAGTGGCGCTTCAGCCTGTGGCCCTGTGGACATGCAGCCGCCTCGGCTGCCTCTTGCGACTCGTCCTCTGGCGCTGGACCTGACTCCACCGCCGCACGGAAGTCGTGGATGCCTGGGCCCCGCCACGCCAGCGTGAGAATGCCCAAGACTCCCATGGGTCGTCCAAGGCACTTTTCAAACGTGCAGCTTTTGACAGGTCCTGGGCGAAAGCTGCAGACAGAATCGGAAAGCCGCAATCAGACCACAGCCGCCCCAGACTCGCCTGAAGAGCGTGTACTTTGCACCATGCTTTCCTGAGCAGGAGCAGAAGAAACAACGACATTGCTTCAAGGCAGGCTCGACTGCCCAAATCTCTGCGGGCGAGGGATCCACTGATGCTCAAACGCCTCGCCAGCGTCTCCTTCTTCTTCTCTTCGCTCCTCATGGACAGTTCTGTGTACATGTCGATGCATCTTGTGCTAATGGATGCCGCCGACGTGGCTCCCCCTCCAAATCTCTCCAAACCCCAGATCAGCCATGCACTTTGCAACTTATCGCGCTAGGGTTGCGCTCGTGGTCCCACGGATGCAGAAGGACTTTGTCAGCTGAAGCACAAGTTCTAAGGAGCTTTCCTCCTTTCCAACTGCGTGGCATGTAGCAAGGCCAGAGCTTCTCTGCTAGAGCGGCTGCTGGGTGCCTTCAGCCAGGACATCACCTCGACATCTTTCTGCTTGTTCGCCTTAGACTCAGGTGCACGTCATTGCACCTCTGTCCCAGCCGGTACGCAAGCACAGCCATGTCCAAGTCGAGGTGCCATGATGTTGTCAGGCAAAGACGACGGGCGTAGCTCTTCTTTGCCGTGCGCGAAGGGGCATGCTTTCCCCTTCTCCTGTGCGGGGAACCATGGCGAGAACTGGCTGGTAGGACGACGGGGCTGCGCTCTACCCACTTCACCACTTGCAGTTAAGGCTCGCAAAGACCACGCTCGAAGAATCTGCAGAGATCCGTTTTGTAGTTGTCCGGCGGCCTTCCCTGCAAGGGTCTTGCAAGGAGGGCCTCTTGGGAGTCCCCAGGCCCCAGGCCCGTTTTCATCAGTGCCGTGCCTTGCCCTTGCCAGAACCCTTCGAGTCGTGCCAGCGACTCCCTTTGGCCATGGCCATCAGTACAAGACCACGCAAAGCTTGCTGACGCAGAGATGTTACGGTGCTGGAGTCTCAAGAGGCCCTAGATTCGCCCCTCGATATTCAGAATGACTGTGTCCCTGGGCTCTGCTGGCTCATGGCCCAGACTGGAGCCACAACCGGGAAGCCACATCTTCGTACTCACCAAGCAAAATGCCGACTGCTCGGGAAGACTGAGCACACCACGCCGTCACTTAGGTCAGAGACTCCGGACCTCGACTCACCGCTGGTAGTGCAGCAGCCGTTAGCCGCTGAAAACCACACAGTGCTCATCAAAGCGCAGCTGTGCGGCGACATGCGGGGTCTTCCCTGAGATGGTGATGAGGCGGGTGCCTGCACGCGCAAGGCTTGGGACAGATGGCAAACATTGGCAATCATCAAACACTTGCGGAACGCACCAGCACACCGAAAGACGAAGATCGCTGTCGGATCAGTGCCTGAAGGGCTGCACATCAGCACGGAGCCCTCCACCCTCCCCCCCTCGTGGCACTGAGGCAGCAGGCTGAAGACGATGGCACCGGCCTAGGCGGCCGGTGAAAGCGGGACAAGAGGGCCTAGGGGGAAGCACCAATCGGGAGGCCTCGAGAGAGGCAGCGGAAACCGATTCTTCTGCTCCGCAGCCTTCACCCAGTGCCAGCAACTTTGATTCATTGATCCAAGTGCGCGACACGGCCGCTGTTTTGATCCGGCGCATATGTTCACTCGCCGGGTGCAGCGTAGCTTTGGCTGCCGAAAAAAGCCAATCAATCCTCACAATCCAAGCGAAGCTCATCTGGCTCAAAGTCGCCTCCGGGACAGCCAGAGGACTTAGGCTCGTGTCTGAGGAACAGCTGAAACCCAAGCCGAGCGGCCGATGCCACCTAGCAACGTCCAAGTTGGCCGCAGCTCTTCCAGGCGTCTGGCATTCTCTGGAAACCTGCAGGAAACCAAACACAAGCTCAAGTATGCTTGGCTGAACACTTCCATTTGTGTCGCAGCAGGAGCGTAAAGTTCTTGCTTCGGGTCTCCGCGGAGTTTCCCGGCGCAAAGCTACATTCCAGGCGTGCCAACAACGTCAACATTCCCCACCAAGGTCATTTCAGGGTGGCGCCCCAACAAAACACATGACACATCAAGTCACGTGCCACCATGTTCATGTCGAAAGGGCGGCTCACGACTATGCATTGTCATCTTGGTCATCTTGTAGCACCAGGTTCACGTTGGAAATGTGGCTCAAACGGTGTGAATGCGAACAGCACATGGTTCACAGTCTGCTCAAGTCAAATACCCGGAGCCGCAGAGTTCCGTTCCCGCGGTGCATGATAACACAAAGCTCCCCCCATAAGCCGCACACAGAAGCCTCGAATTTTTGTATACTAGTATGAGACCGAACACGCCAGCGACACTGCAACCAGTGAACCAGCGCAGCAGTTGCCAATTTGTTGCCGTCCCTGCCTCGGGTCAGGCAGCGCTGCAGTGAGGCATCCCGCCGCCTGCACAGCACAGAAATCTAAGACTTGCTGAGCCCGTCCCCACTGACAACAAACGCTCGCCGCGCCTGCCCACCAGCAATACCCAAAGGCGAATCCTCAAACCTTGCATGGGCATGGTCCACTTGGACATGTCTGGTCTAGAAGTGGACATGCGAAACAAAACACAAACTTAGCTTAGGGCCCGGCACGACACACTTTCGGCTGTCCTTACCAAGTCTTCGCGCTGCTTCTTCGAAGATGTCGGGCCTGCAGCAGGCAGCCACTCGCCGCGTCGAGCTACGGGCTTTTGTGCAAGACCGTTCAGAAAGCCAGGCCACGCCGGCTTGCCCCTAGCAACTTCATCACCGGTGACGACGGCATCCATGAGATCAAGGATCTCCTGCAACGAAGGCAACGTTGGCGACATCGAATCTCTTTCTGTTGGTGGGCTTGTCAATATGCGGCCCACTGGGTCTACTTAACTTTGTCTACTTCTTCAACAACGGATTTCCACTTGCCATGCTAGGAGCCCCACTTCTCGGTTTTTTGGTTTTAACGCCGAGGTACATGCCCCGGTATGAAGAGCTCGGGCCTCTTGGATCTCTCAACTTAAACAAAAGGCCCGGCCCCCAAAGCAGCCTGATGGTACTTCATCTTCTCGTCGAAGGATATCCTTGCACAGGTTTTGTACTTCCCCTGCTCTCACGGAGATGGCAACAGATATGGGGGGCCTTGGGCTCGAAGTTGCGATTGCCATGGGGAAGCCTGCTTTCTTCAGCGCTCGGAGCAGGGGCAGCGTCCCCGGCCAGGCCGGGATCTTCGAATACAAGGCCTGCCGGCGACTGCGCAACTGGGGGACCCTGAAGCAACTGCGATATCTGCGACATGCTCAGTGCTCAGTTCCAAAACGGGGCCCCGCCTTGATCTCTTCCAAGTACTCCTCTGGATTCCACGAGTCAGAAAGGACGAGGAGACTAAAGCGCCTAAAGTCTAAAGGCGTCTCCTGCACGTAAGCCTCCGGAGTCAAAGCCCCCGGATCCATGGAGACATCCTCGAAGCCGAGAAAGAGATGTGCTTTTTGGGCTTCGGCTTCGGCTTGTGCTGCGCTTTCCGGGTGCCTGCAGAATCTTTCGTGACCAATCCTCTGTTTTCGTTCCAACGATCTTCCCGTGCAAATCCTGCTCTCGCAGTCCACATCCGACGCTAAAGTTTCTACACGATTCTACGTACCTGCATGACCATGCACACACGGTCGTATGGTCCCAGGAGAGGGCTTTGTCACGGCGCAGCAAAGGCGCTTCCAGTGCCTCGTGCGACGCACCTGTCAAAACGAGGCCTTTACAGATCCCCTTCCGCTTTGCTCGAGCCTTCGTAGTCGATGAGCGTGCCGTCCAAGTCGAAGATAACCGCTTGAACCTCCCATTGCAGCATGGTGCTCTTGGCATCGGCTGCCACCCTGGACCAAGCCTTGTGCGCCATGCAGACTACAGGGGCAGCTGCGCCAGCATGGCTTGAGGTGTATGCATTTAGGGCATTAACGGCTTCTGGAAGCCTAAAATAACTCTAGTCAGCGTCCTGCACGGCACCTTACCGGCTGCGGCCGCTGCGAGGTCAGTCAGCACAGTGACCCTTTTAACTACCAACCAACATAAATCCGCAACAAACGGTTGGAGCTGCTTTCGTGTTTCGGACGTCGGGCAAGCTAATGCCCACATGCCAGCTAGGATGTGATGGCGTTCAGACTACATTAGCCTGAGTGAAAGATGCTGCGAGGATCACCGGCTCAACCAGCACACCGTCTTCATCTTCACCGATGACTACGAACAGCAAAGCGACTAAGAATGCCTCGAAGTCGATCCCACGCAAAGCCAGGTCCAGGCGCCGCAGCCTGGGCTCGCGAGAGAGGCGAAGAGAGGTCCGAGGGATCGCTTCGAGGGTCTGACCATCCCCTCCGAATGATGATATACCACGTTCCGAAGACCGACCCCGTGACACAATAGCCCTGCCCACGCCAAAAAATGCACTGTTTTGCATCCGGAGTCTGCAGGTCACCCGGAAACTGCAATGCGAATTCCCATCTTCGGACCACTTCCTACCCTTCCCACCTCTTTTCTTCAACCCTCAACCCTCTCTTCCCTGGGTGCCCGGGCAGCTTCTTGTGCGGTCGATCGGGCGCCGCGGGCCGAGACTTTGGTCCCACGAGGCGGTGCTCCCCCTCGGATTTTGGAATATCAGACTGAAAAATTTAGTCCGTTCTAGCGCATTATAGTATAGTATACCAAAATCTAATAGTATACTATCGCAAAAGCTAATATGTTGGACTATATCGACATTTAACCACTGGAACGGCGTGTCTTCAGGATTCCGTTCAAGGCTCCCTTGTCAGGGTTCTATGAGTGTTACTACTCGGTTGTATTATAAGGAGCCTTAATCAATAGACAATGGGTTTGTCATCGTCATGGTAGAAGTGTACTTGCGACTATCGTGAAAGGGCTCTGCAAAGTTTGGGTACGCATGGATCTACAGATGCAATGTAGACTGGACAACAATCTACCTACCTATCTACCTACCTGCCACCCTGCTTAGCTGGTTGCTATATCTGTCTATCTATTGCGAAGCTTGTCCTAGGTTACGTGTTGGATGGTGTATGCTTTCTACTCTGGTGGTAGACTGATGCATAATTTTCCGAATGCATGTATGGACTGACTAGACTGTATAGACCATGCTCATTCATAAAGCCTTCGCTACCAGCAGCTTTTTCGGCACTGCCATTTCTTGCATAATGTGTAGCAGCAGTATTGGCAGTAAGATGTCTTAACGAGGCATTGTACCATGGCAACTGCATATCTCTGATGTCTTCGTTTCCCGCTTGTTTCGATGCATGTCTGGCTTGTCTTAAGGCGAGGACGTGCTGAGTCAGGCCAGAGTCTGAGGTGTCGGCGGGCCGGGTCGAGCAGAATCCGAGCATAGCGCTCATACTGTTCTCCTGCCATCACGCCCCTGCAATACTGTGGAAGGTCAAGTCTCAACGGAAAAGTTGGCGACCTGGACGACTCGTATCTCGCCACTATCAATGTCAACGAACATTGTCTGCGGCTCGCAGATAGCCTCTGCACCTGAGCTGTCACCATCGCCGCAACGCGAAGTTCTGGACGTCGAGTGTTTTCGACAAGCGATTTTGGGCCCTCCCGGGCGCCAACATGCTGTGCTCGTGAGTAAACCCCCTCCCGAAAATCAGCTCGGGGGCAATTGTATCCGAACCTCTTCGTGTCCGAGTTGGGCTAAACATGCCATCCTGGATCGACCGACACTTCTGGAATCCGTGCGAGTCGAAGGCGAGAGATGAACCCCAAATAATTTACTCGCTCGGTCTGCACATCCCCCTGTGTGTGCCATGTTTCCCCCTATCGGCCAATCCCTTCTTTAATTCCTGTGCGAAACACGGGCAAATAACATCTCGGCTCCGATCGCAGCGGATCCCGATCAGCTTGCTGAGGTGGGTGCGCTGGACCATCTCTGACGAGATGCCAAGCACCTGGCACATAACCAAATTGAAAAATAAGTCAGTGGCACCTTCCTGAAGCGCTGTTAGATGTTGTCAGTGTCAGCATCTTTTCTAATCAAGCGGCGAAGGGAAGCGGTGCTCCACAAAAATCGACAAGCCTCGGCCACAAGTTGCACTCAAAACATGTAGCTGGATGCAGATATGTTCAGCTTTGGCCCCTCGCGCATCAGGGAGCAATGGCACATAGACGGCGGCTGGCCTCGAGAAGAGAAAGAGTAGATGAATTTGGTTACCCAATCTAATCTAAGCGAGCATGGCCTCAACGGCCAAATCAGGCCAACCTCAACCACATCTTTGAGTGGTTTTTGCAGCTGGATAGCACCACAGCTTCGCTCAGCAGGCAGCTAAGATCTCGCCAAAAGCGCAAAGCGCTGACATGCCTCGATTTGATAAGAATTTACGTTGGAGAGGGGGGTGGGGCAAACTATGCGACTACTTAGTGACCATTCCATGGATAGGTGGTTCTGGGGTACTACCTCTGATCTGGTGGCTAGGTTACAAACTCATGAAGACAAATGAGTAAGAGGGATCGCCGCGGGACTGAAAGTTCTCATCACAACCGCTTCTGTCCTCCTGTGGCCACTGCTGAAGTATTAGGAGCCGTGGCCGCAGTCATAGTCATAATTTGTCGACGTCCTCGTCGTCGGACCAGTGGCAGTGGCAGTGGCAGTGGCAGTGGTGGTGGTGGTGGTGGTGGTGGTGGCGGCGGCGGCGGCGGCGGTGGTGGTGGTGTGGTGGCGGCGGCGGCGGAAAAAGCGGCAGCAGCAGCGGCAGCAGCAGCGGCAGCAGCAGCAGCAGCAGAGGTAACTTTGGCTCCCACTTGTCGGAGTCGCTCGAATTCCGCATTGCAGAGGTAATAGTAATAGTATTACTACGAAAACAACCCACATTCACTCTTTAACTGGCGGAAGCCCAGCCTGTCCCTCACCCCCAAAGGATGTGCACTTTTTCCGCAGCCAAGGAGGTTGTCTGAGCGCGGGTTGGTGGTAGGACGGGCCGGCCAGGGAACAGGACGGCTGAAAGGCTAGCATGAAGCCTGGCACCTTCGGATGGACCCAAGCCTGGGACCTTCGGCAACAAGCCCCCGTTCACGGTACTCTCTGGCCTCTGAGCTCCGGCCCCGGCTGGCTGCTGCGGCCGCTGTGCCAAGAGATGGGCGGGTGGTGGGCAGGGTGGAGGCTTCGGGGCAAAGGCCCAAAGCGCATTCACTGGGCCGGGTGGTAACGGCCCCTTCGGAGCAACTTCAGGACGCTCCGTCTTGTCCTTGTTTTGTGCCTCGTCCCTTGGCTTCGGCGGTGCCTCTGTGGTCTCTTGGCTTGGAGCCTCAGCCGGAGCCTCCGCCGGAGATTCCGGAGTCTCCGGCCTTGCGGGTGGACGAGCCTTGGATTTCACAACTTCTCGAGGCTTGCCAACTTGAAACTCCAAATACGGAATCAACAGGCCTTGGTCATGGAACACGAAGACCGTGGCCAGCGCATAATAAGAGTGTAGGATCCCACCCGGCAGTGCGATTCCCAAGACTGGGAAGTCCGTATGCTCCTCCAGTGTCGTCCGCAACTGTTGCCGGATGGTGTCTGATATCCCATCGGGCCCTCCGAGAATCAACAGCACCCGTTTCAGATTCGCAGGCCGCTCCGCAGAAAGCGTCTTGGCAGCAGCAACAAACTTAAGTTCTGGGTGACCACCTTCCAAGATGACGGCAGCAAAATGACCTCCTAATCTCCGCGCCTGTGCTCGGTAGCGTCGCGCACGCCGGTTCAGGAAGGCGAGGAAACCCGGCTCACCGGGCCCTCCGTTGCTGATCCGCATGCCCGAATTCGGTGTCCCTTTGTGCCAGGTTTCCAGGATACCTCCGATGACCTGGCGCTCCGTAAGGACCTTCCTGCGACAAAGCGTGTTATAGCGGTGGTACTGCCTCAGACGAAACTCCACACAGGCCTGGGAGCTTAGCATCATGAAATGTTTCATGTATCTCTTGAAACCTGGCCCCTCCGAAGCACACATTCTCAGAGTCACCTGCGCATTCTCCATGCGACCCTTCCAGCTGTCCAGGAGGGCATCGGAATAGCGATCGATGCGTGGAAACCCACCAGGCAAACGGCCGGACAAGTCCCAGCCCTGTCCCTCCAGGCCACCTCCCCAATACAGAACGCCCATCCTGGGCTGCTGCTGGTCAAATTGGCGAGATGCCCCAGAGTCGCAAGAGGATTCTGAAACTTCCTCTGTCTCCTTCTTCGGCGGGAGCCTTCTTGGTGGCGTCACTGGACGACGTTTACCACGGCTTCTGCGGCTCCTGGAACGGCTGCGCGGGCTCCGCGAAGGTTTTGCATGCTTCGAGCTCTTCCTCAGGGGCTTCGACCGATAGCGCCATCCATATGTCGAAGAGCTCCGCGAGCAGCTGCGGGGACGGCGAGATCGGCGAGATCGAGAGCTTGAAGAGCGCCGCTTGCCTTTTGCCATGGCACGGCTGCAAGCATGAGATGCTGCGGAATCATGGAAAGCCTGACACTTGCCTTCTCCTCTTGTGCGCTTGCAGACTGCACATCATGAAATGCTGGGCTTTACCACCCAACCTTCCCTTAACGCAGAGCCCAAGTTGGCTGCATTCCCGGAGCTGCGACACATGCCCAAGCTTCATTAAGCTTGGAAGGACGGCGCTGGCAGAAAACAGAGCCCGTCGCAGACGGAATGAAGAACGATTCGATGCTCGAGGAGCAAGGCCTGAATACAAAGCACAAGTGGTTTGTTCTGCATCGCAAGCCGCTGATTTCAGGTGGGCCTCGACAATCGTGACGACACTTTCGGGCTTGAGCTGCTGGAAAATCAACCTAGCAGGACCAACATCGCAAGTATCGCCTCGTGACCCACATTTCGCCTGACGGGTAGGTCAAGCAGAGGCAGCTGGTTCCTGGGAGGTATGAACAGATCCATGAGGACGCATGAAAAATGTCGCGTGGTTGCATAGCAGATCGGGCTGCTGCGGCGCTGGTCTTTGCAGTGCGAACGCTGGTATCTCTGGCCAGGGAACCTGACATGCAAAGCCTCAAACGAGGCCCCGCAGGCTTCTCGTGACTCTTGTCCAAGCTTCTCGCAATCACCTGGAACCCTGGTGGAGGCAACGGTGTCTCAGAGACGAAGCTGACCACGAACCTGCAGACGTTTCTTGCTCTTTTTTTTTTTTTTGGGGGGGGGTTCGGGAGTCCAGAGGACGGGCCTCTCTGGAGAATTTCCCGAGTACCGCAAGCTGTAAAGGAATGCACGGAAGGCCTGGGAAGAAAAAAAAGAGACCCTGAGCCGAGAAAAATTCCTGCTCTTCTTCGAGTGCAGCGCTCCCCAGAGCGGCTGGGTACTGAGCACGGCCAGCGCCTGGAGCTTTTTGTGGCGGCTTCGGGCCGGGCTTTGAGCAAGAGAAATTGGCCAGGACCCCGTCCCTCTGCACCAAGTGCGAGCGAGAGGAATCAAAGCACCAGATGTGGAGAGCCTGGGACACACCAGGTCGCGCCCCCCGCACTTCCGCGCTTTTTGGATCTCGGCGCAGCGCCGCCCCAAAGCAGCGGTCGCCTGCTTCGTTCGTGAGAACGAAACCGTGAAGCGTCTCCTCCACCTCAGGAGTTCCCATTCGCCCGCCGCCCAGCAGCCCGAGGCTTTCACTTTCGGCGCCTCCTTCTGCGGCGCTGCAACTTGGGCACCTTGTCTTGGAAACTTCCGCATACGGTCACCAGAATTCCGGAAGACAGGCCTCCTCGTGGGAAGCAGAAGGAAGCAAGGGCAGGCGGAAACCTGTCACTGGTTGAAAACTGTTGAAAAACTGGCAACTACAAGGTTACTGCACGTCGCAGAGCACAGCCCCTCTCGGCCTGACATCCTTGTGGTCCTTCTGCGGGTATCGCTGAAGGACTTGGACAGGGAGGCAATCGCCCGCCTTGGCTGAACAGCTAGCGGCGGCGTCCTGGAGAACTGCTCCGCGATACTGAAAGCCCGCCACTTCCGGCAATGCTCCCTCATCGTGTGCACCGATGACGGCGAAGTACCTATATACAAAGCTCTTCCATGCGCTTGGCCCGCAGACTTCACTGACTACATCCTGCCGAGCGACCGAACTGCGTTTTCAGGTGCGGAATGGCCGCCATCCATCAGAGCAACTTGAAACGGACCTTCCAAAGAATACAAGTTTTGAGATCGATCAAGCACCGAGTAAGGGAAAGCAGCAGGCACCCCACAGCAGAAGGCACCACACCCCACAACAACCTTTCAATTCGCCTGATCCTGCTGTTCCATCAGGTCTCTGCGGACACGTCGATGGGAGAAAACGGGTACACAGGGGAGCACTCAACCCATGTAGCTGAGTATCTTGGCTCTAGGGGTCAAGATGGGTTAAGTATGGTGCATCTCGCATCGCCGGGTATGACTCGTGCCATGAGCTTTCCAAGATTTGTATAGCACTGGCTTGGACCAAGCTGCCATCAGGCCATCAGGCATACCGGAAACCCAAGCTGAGAAAAAGGTACTGACCCAGGTCGAAAGGAAGCTTTCCGCATTCTTTTGACCGTAGTGCGAAGATAAGCTCTTTGCTTAAGCCTGGCAGATGCAAGCCTGTACGAAGGAAGGCACGTACAGCCTCACCTAAGCACAAAAGCCTTGACCTGTTGCTTCGCACGCCTTCCCGAAGGTGACAGCGTGCAACCTCTTGTTGCCCGGGTCGTCCGTGATGTAATCCTATATAAGACATGTCGTCTAAGAATAATAAAACTTCTCTCGAGAACGATTCGTCTGACCCAGGAACGAGCCATGAACCTCCACTTCGTGGCATTCATCATAACGAAAACAATAACATCAACTAGCAGCATGCCTGCAGAGTCTTGGACTTGCTCGATGCTGACATATGCTTAAACATTTGCCCTCCAGCTTCAACTGTACGAACTGACCTTGAGGTGACGTCTAGCAAGCCGTGGAAACATCGCCGTTCCCACAATCACCTTGCAAGGGCCTTGCCGCCTTTGCTCTGCAAGGCTCCAGTGAGCTTGTGGGCGGTGCTAGTCCAAAAAAGCTAGCTTCATTTCTGCGGCACGGCCGCTCCTGGCGTGGTCAAACAAAGCCCTCCGAGCGCGCAGCCTGGATCTCTGGGCTTCCTAAGCTTATGAATGAAAGACTGGACCCTCTCTCCTCAAAGCCCTTACATTTCCCACATGACACATGACTACATAGACGTGGTCTCCACCAACCCCAAACAGAACGAGCCTGGCAGCAACCTCACGGACAAGGCAGCCTGCGCGGCAATGACAGGAGGGCATCCGTCGTCGTGGCATGCGAGTCGAAAGCAGTAGCCCCACGTTGTAAATGTCGACGATGCCATAGAGCGGCTCATCTTGACCTGAGCAGAACGGACAAAAGGAGGAAAATGGAGGAACTTGAGCCGCTGAGGGCCCAGCGAAGGCCGGCGGAAAGCATCTCTGCCTCCGGCACGGAAGCCACCTCAGAAAACAGAGGGAACTTGGGGAGAAGGGAGTTCCGAGCCGCACTGCGGCAGTGCGCTGAGCGGATGCACTTCGTGTCCATCCACAAAGACAGAGAGGCTCCCACCTCTCAAGCTCTGCATTCATCATCCGCAGACTTTCAATTTCCGGGGTCCCCACCATCGACAAGGAGCCCGACTCGCTGTCCGACTGCGAATTCAATGGAAGGACGGGAACTCGCTGCTTGGCCACCGGAGCAAGTTTGCCTCTCAGCTGGTCCGACTGCCAGTCCAACGTGCCCTCCTTTCCATTGAGGTACTTGTTCCCTGCAGCCAGGATCTAGGGAATCTAGGGTGTACAAATGTGCAAGCGAAACGGGAGCCGGGAGCCATCGGGAGCCCACCTGCATAGCCAAGAACGAATGACCGCGGTACCCGCCACGCTTTGTCTGGCAAGCGCCTCAGAGTTCTGAGCTGGAGGCCGTAAGCCGTGGCTCTAGCAAAGAGAAATGCGCTCCTCTTTGGGCCCGTCCCCGTCAGGGGCCCTGGCTGCTCTTTGAGGTCGCCTCATTCTTGGCTCAGTCCGCAAAACCAGCTCCACGAAACTTTAGGTGCCCTGCTCGGACTGGAATGCGTCACGCCGATTCCCAGCCTTGGGTGATCACAGCCATCTTATAGCCGCAGCAGTCTGAAAATTGCTTATCAGGGTCGTGCCCACCCATCCAGCCGTCGACTGTCTGACAAACCTCTTGGCGAAGGACACGCGGACCATATCTCCCAGCTCGGTTTGCCCGGAAGTTTACTCGCACGTGAGCCTCCACCTCGAAGTACCCTGCACCGTGCTGCGACAGGGGCCCTTTGCATACGGCCACTGACCTCGTTCAGCTCACATGGGAGATCTGTGACTCTGCAAGCCGGCTGTGGGCGCACTCCCGGCAGCCGCAGCTGCGGGTCGCAGTAAACCCGTCCTGGCTCAAGACATCTGTTTACAGTTCTGGACAGAACTTCTGCTTCAAATCGACCTACGAGCACCACTTAGTCCTGAGATAGAAGAATGTTCAGACCGACAGTATCATGGCCTCAGATGCCATTGGGCCACGTTTTCCGGTTCATTTGAGACAGAGAGACTCTCTACTTGGCGGCTGTGGTCCATGCAAAATGGTGCATGCATCAATGAGGCGGGCCTTAAGAGTAACAAGCTAGCATTTGGAGCTTGCACTGAACCTGCCCAACCAGCCGGGTGTAAAGCGCTTGCTTCTCCTGCCTTTTCTTCGACGCCTTGCTCCCAATGCACTGGTATGGCACGATAGAGCAGCTGCAGACCCTACCACAATCCGACCTCCTGGTCCTGATTGATACCCGCACGCCGCTGCAGCTCCGCCACCTTGTGCTGCAAACAAGATGTGTGCCCGGGCTCAACTTGGACTGCACAAGCAGCCGGTTTTCAGGTGTTGCTGCTGGGCTCTGCGCCGCTGCTCGAGCTTTCTCGACGGCTTGCAGCACGTCCGACCCGAACTGAAGCGCAAGAAGCTCAAGCTCTCTCATCTCTCCAGGGTTCAGGACCAGTCGGTCAGAGCCACGGGCCAGCAATGGCTCCGGCGACTCTTTGTCCTTTGTGGACTCGGCCCCTTTGCTGGGAGATGGCATGTCAACAGCCTGGGCTGCTGAGTTTGGGAGGCACTCTCAGCAAGCAGTTCCTGAGGCTGAGATGGTCTGAGCCTGAGCCTATGGCTATGGTTTTCTCCAGGCTGGCCTCTGGCTGGAACGTGGACACTGCGAAGCGCGAGTCAAAGCGGAAAAGGACTTCGCTCCAGCCGGTACAGGTAAGCTGCGCGCCATCGGCCCACGTTCCAGCGGCTGCGAAGCCTCTTGAAGGCAGCCATCGTTCACGACCTCGGAAGGTAGTTGGCTCCCTTCTGGCTCTTTCTTTCGGTGGGTGTGAGAAATCTGACTCGGTAGACCTGCTTGCTGTGGCACTCTGGGTGGCCGGGTTGGAAGTTGCAAGCACGCTTTCATGCCACAACCACTTAGCTGTGCCGGCTGCAGCGGAACAAGCAATACCTTGCTGGGTCGCTGGCCGTAGTTTTGTCCAAGCTCACATCCTTCTTTTCCACCGAGCCCTTGTGGTCGACAGGCTCTTCGCATATGATCTTAGTCGCAAGAGGTCTGTCCACCAGATGCCTGGACCCCAGGAAAATTAGCTGCGGACCACAGTCTTTTCCAAAGACTGTCTGGGTGTCTCTGCTGCGGCGGCCTCGTCCGCAAGCAATGGAACATTTGACATGTCGATCATCGAAAGAGGAGTGCGAGGGAGCAACGAGGGAGCAACTGGGAGCAGCGGAGCAGATAGAAGGAGCCCTTGCCTGCTGTGCCTGCTCATCAGTCGCTGGCTTGAGCGCCGCTGGGTCCGCCGAGGCTTCCTGGAAACATCCCGCATCACTGCTGGGCCTTCCGACTGAATGTTCTGCTGCTTCAAGACTTTAACACTGGATGCACAAAAAGCGTAGCTCAGGTCAAGGTCGTGGCCGGGCTTGGCGCTGAAGCCGCTGAAGGAGAGGTCTCCTGCTCGGCGTGCTCGCAGGGCGCCGGGAACGGGATGGTCTCCACGCTGCGAGCCGTGGCCTCCACGACACCGCCACGCAAAGATGCCAGGCAACGGAAACCCCCTCGCCTTTGCTTGTTCAGCTTTGAGCTCTGCAAGCTCTGATTCGATCCGGGCCATGGCCTGGGTAGTTGACGGTATCCAAGACGCGAAGAGATAGAGAAGGCCTGAGAAGGCGTGAAGCCCCGTGGCTCCAGCAGCTCCGGTGAGCGAAGCTTCCATGGTCTCACGAGCTGCCGCCTGGCGCAAAGAGCGAATTCGGGGAGCCGGGCGGCCGAGGGTGTACGCGTGCCGCGTGCACTCTTGCTTGCACTCAGCCAAAGAGGGCGCAGCTGCAACCCCCTCGCGCGCGTGCGCGCACTGGTGCACTCTCTCTCTCCCTCTCTCTCTCTCTCTCTCTCTCTCTCTCTCTCTCTCTCTTTCTTTCTGCCGGGCATAAGGGTCGCGGTGCGACCCACAGGCCTAAGCCCGCCCGACCACCCCCTGGTTTATGGAGTGATCGGCTTTTGGGGTACTCCTGATCTCGGCACTGTACTACTGGGTATGTCCCAGACTTTCGCGCTGGCGATCCCTCCCGAACACTAAACACAACACAACCCCCGCCTCTTCCCCGCGCCCCTATGGCTAACCTATGCACCAGCTTTGCGAAAGTTGCCAGGCAACCCAAATGCAGCGGAACAGCTTGCTACAGGTTCTTCGCACGCTGGACCGGGCACCTTTTGTGCATCGTAGCTACGGTGGGTGGTTCAGTTAGTCACTCGTAGTCAACCGTCTCACTCTCTCTCTCTCTCTCTCTCTCTCTCGGACCTGCGCCTTCAGTTCACTGAGCTCGGCTTGGATTCGAGCCATAGCCTTGGAATGCGAGAGTGCACAGTTCCCAAAGTTCATCAAGTCCCCACTCGGCATCCGCTGCCTCGTCGTGGCATGCCTTTTGCGCCAAGACCTGTGAGGGCTCGGACGCTTGTGCTCCAAACGGCGGTGCAAAAACCTGCTGTTGGCCTCAGCCGTTGCTGCTAGACGCTCTGCCTGGACCCGAGCCTGATCAGTCTGAAAGGCATCGTAACATGCTCCGCACATCTCCGCATATCACGGGAACGCTTGATCCTTTGAAGGCCTCAGCCTCTGCAGCTATGGCCCGCAGTGCCTGCAGATCACGAGCACGCTCCTTCAAGTTCAAGGCGAGAAGTCGAGTGTGGCCTGGGCAGCCTCTGCAGCTGCATCCTCGACTTTGCGCCTCTCCGCACCTCCAAAACCCATCCGCCCAAGGATGCCCGTCCACCCATCGCACTTCGAGAGAGTATAGAGAGTCAATTTTGCTCAACTTCAGAGACAGGCCTAGGGCAAGCGAGGCTTTCTCTTCCGCCTCAAGCACGCAAGACAAGCCATCACAGAGTGCGACGATTTCGCCCAACCATCGCCTGCTCTGACTGGCCTCAGCGGAAACAGAATGCCTTGCAAAACTTCCCAACATGTGCAAGCAAAACTTGGCATGCGGCCGGCAGCATCTGGACCTGTCAATCATTCTCAAACCGAACAACGAAGAGGGTAGCAGTTGCAAAACGCCACACTTATTGTGGCTGTTACAGTAGTCCCTCCTTCACGGGACGAGCTGGTCGATTTTCCTGGTGACTGGTCGCACCTGGGCTCTCAAACAGCCTTCAAGGGCCACTGCCGACCAAACTCGCCACCCAAACACCAAGCTCCAAGTCAGCCACCCAGCCCACTCTGGCCCTCTTTGCTCAGGCATTCCTGCATCGAGCGATGATTATCACACAAGGTCTTCAAATGGTTCGGAAGGCTGGGGCTTCAGAAGTACCTGTTTTCCCTGGCCTGACTCCACTGGCTCCTGCAGCTGCTCTTGAGCCCCGGCAACTGGCACCTTAAGAACACAACTCACCGCCAGGCTGTGCACAAGCGCTGCAAAGAGGAGTCGGGATCCGCACCACGGCTTCTGCCACTCGCACCGCGGCTACGGCTGGTTGAAGTGTCTTCTGCAGGCCACCAGCTGTCGTCCTCAGAGGACATATTGGACCATGCCCAAGTGTGCAGAGCGCGCTCAAAGAACCGAGGAGGGCACGCGGCATGAACGGCTGGTTGTCGAAGGGGAGCATGTGGAATAGAGGCTTCGAGTGCGAGCCTGGGAGCATCGAGACATGGACCCGGCACGCATGGTGCGCAGCTGCCCCTGCCTGGGCACAGGAGCTACAGGCCTCACGCGTTCACCTGCTGGCCAGAACGACAAACTCAGGGTATAGAGATGCACTGTCGATGAACTGATGTGGCCTCCCGGCCCTCCCGGCTGCGGCATTGCCGCCCAGACTGGAGCACCTGCTGCGGAACTATCTGACTCTGCGGCTTGTGCTTGAGAGTGCGGCCTGGCTGGGGATGAGATGCTGGGTTCTCGATGATCTCCTGTCCATCGGGTCCGAAGCGTGGTTGGAGCTGAGGTTGACCATGTCCATGCACCTTCAAGTAGGGATACTGTTGCAGAGAGACACTGAGGATTGGGCCCTCTGTGCCTGGGGAGCACCAGGCCCGAGGCCAAGAGGCCCAAGAGGCCCAAGCGGCGACCTCGGAGCTTCGGAGCTTCGTTTGCTTCGTCGAAACCAAGGCAGTGTTTCGTGCCCGGCGCCTCGAACTCATCTCCAAGAGCCCTGGCCCTGGCCCTGGCAGCTCAAAAGGTGAAACGGTGATGGTGGTCGTGCAGCTTTGTTCTGGCAAGGCGCGGTTCAGCATAGCATCCCGTGGCATCGAACCCTGCAGCCTGGGAGACCAAACACCTGGCGAGCACCAGTGCCAGCGCCCACGCTTCAATCATCCTCAAACCTTCCCAGACTCAGGTCAGGAGATTGCCTTCCGGGGGCGCAAGAGGGCGCAGTGGCCTCTCATGTTTTTCGTGGAGGTGGGCTGCTGCGTCTTGACCCGAGGCTTGCACGCATCCCAAGGACCAGGACCAGGACAGCCCGGGCCTGGCTTAAACGGCTGAGACCCACCAAGTTTGCACAGTTTGCACGATTGCACTCCGCACGGATGTGCACTTGCGAGTGCATGGGCCTGCGGGCGGTCTTGGCATCCCGTCGGGCCCCAATGGCACGTGGTAGCCTTCCACCAGAGAAAGCGCTTCTCTGAATGTCCATCTGAATCTACGGATGGGAAGCACCTGCACCATCCGGCGGGCCAGCCATCATCGGCCTGCGCACACAATGCTCCTGACTTTGGTGCCCCGCGTCCCGCATGGCCTGTTCGCGTCGCCCTGCGGCCAGGGTCGAAAGGCATCAGGTCCTCGCAGCTGCATCTCTGCCGCAGTACGCCATTCTCGCAGGTACTTGTAGCTAGCCTGCATCGGGAGGGTACATCGGCGGCCCTTGCCTCAGCGCAGCATCTTAGAAAGCTTCGCACATCAAAAAGGAGATTCACAGGCCCGTGCCATTGGCTACCCGGACCACCTGGGGCATGAGGTCGGGGGCCTGCACCCGCCATCATCGGCATCGGCCTGGACAGGGAGCCACTCGTCCCTCCAACACCCTCTTTCCCTAGCTTTCGCGCGCTCAGCTGTCCGCCCGTCCGGCCAGCCATGTGCAGGAGGGCAGCCTGCCCCGTCACGCAGACAGTTCAGCAAAAAGGGCACAAACAAGTCGAAGAGTTAGTGAGAATGCGAGGGTGTTTGCGCGTCCTTAGAAGCCGGCTGAAGCTCGTGGAAAGCAAAAGAAAAAGATAAAGAGAGAGAGAGAGAGAGAACAACACTGGCCATCGTTCCAAATGCCCCGCCCAATCCTGAATGTGGGTGTGTGACGGCTCACCCAGAGACATAGCGGCGAAGACCAGCAAAGCCGATCAAGCTTGGAAGATCTACACATCCAGCACTACACTCACTACACTTTGGCTGTCACGTGAGTCACCTCGTACTCATATTTGCCGGCCAAGCCTTTCCATCCATAAAAAGGCAAGCGAATGGTCTAGCCGCAAAGGCCACACAGCAGCAGCAGCAACAGCAGCAGCAGCAGCAGCGTTTCTCAGCACCACTGCGCTGAGAAGAAATTACAAACCCGTTCTCTGGAAGGCCACAGGCAATTCCAGACTTTGAGGCCATCGTTGCCACACTTCCCGCCGCAACACGTCCGTGAATCCCGCCATTGGGTTGCAAAGCATGTGCCACAAAACGCAGGCAGGGCGTTGCAAATGACACATGCGCACGGCTCGAATCTGGTGAGAGAGTACAGAGAGAGTACCGGCATGGTACGACTTCGGAAGTGCGTGTGTCCTGTCGTGTCGCCGGCCTGGTCCCGGCGGACCCATGGGCGGAGGATGCCTCTGCTGGGATTGCTCCGGTTTTGCCGCCAAACTGGGCAGGCTGAGTCTGAAACCCATGCCACGGCGGACCTGCTTGCGGCTCGACTGGCTTGCTCATGCTCGTCGACTTCCTGCTGCGTCTTCAGCACGGCCTCCTGGCCCCATGTCAGGTGGACCGGGTGGACCCATAGGCCGGGCCCGCATCATCCTCAGCGCCGAGTGTTCCATTATGGATCACGCATGCATTGCCTTCTCTGAGCACAGAGCTCATCGGGTAGGGCACGATGACCTGGTCGAAGGCCACGCAGTGTTTGGGCATGTTCTGCATACTGCCGCATAGGGGTCCGGCCCCACTCTGGACCAGGACATGGAAGGGGCGGAGGATACCTGAGATTCTGAGATGCGACAGAGGCTGTGCCTCGATCCCGCGCTGCACAAGAGCGGCACTGGCCCATGGCATGCGGATTCGCTCCTTCGGCGCTCCAGTCGCTACAGTGGAAGCAGAGAGCGTGGGCGGAAGCGGGCGCCTGGTCCCCAGTGCCACGGATCTCCAGGCCCAGGACCAGGACATGGACCGGGCCCGAACGCACCAGGCGGTGGCCCTGCTTCCCAGGGTGGCATTTGAGGGCCGAACCTGCAACAAGACGTGAGTCTGGTGAACCCAAACAGTTGAATCGCCACCAGCCTCATCGGCGGCGGCGGCATCCTCAGAATCACGCATGCTTGTTCCTGCTCCTTACGTTTATTCGTGCTGCCACAGTTTTTTGGAGTCTGTCCCGCAGTTGAGCAGAAACACACTGGCCCGAAGCTTCAGCCTCTCAGCAAATGTGAAACGGAAGCATGGCACCAAATTCCGCCACCTGCGGGTCTTTGCGCATCAGGTGACCAAGTGCAGCCCTGCAGGCTTCATTCCTTCATCAGGCCGCTCAGCATTCTGGCAAGGTCGTCGTTCTCCTTCTTGAGCACCTTCAATATTCGCGGCTCAACATGTTAAAGGCCGACGCATGGAAAAGGTCGGAACCCAGCAGCAGGACCCAGCAGCATCAGACTCCCACCCAGTAACTCAAAGAGTTCTAGCCAGAACATCCAGGACAGAAACATCAGTGACAGCTGACAATGCGAAAAAAACTATGGTGCATTCGCCTGCAAGGCAGCGACTGAGCCGGGCACGTCCATCTCAGCCGTGAGCTGATTCACCGTCTGGCTTAATGTTACCTTTTCCTGCTTCATCACTGTGAGTTCGGCATGCAGTGACTTCAGGTCCAACACGTCACCAGTGCTCAAAGGTTCCTCGCCCAGTTGAAGGTGCTGCAGCGTTCCCTGAAGCTTCCCAGACTCTGCGGCATCCTCCAGGAGACCTCGAAGCTTCTTCTTGATCACCGCCAGCTCGCCTGGCTCGCCCTGGTCCTTTCGGAGGCTTTGCAGGATGCCCGCCAGCTCACCGGAATCGAGGGCCTTCTCTGCCCGTGTGAGCAGCTGAGCCTTCAGCTTGAAGAGGTCGTTTCCGAAGTCCTGGTCTCTTCCCTCTTTCTCGTGTGCACCTGAATTTGCCTCATCATGGGTAAGCCTTCCCCTGTCCTGATCCGCTTTGGCTTTTTGTTGTGCACTGGGGCTGGGCTGCTGCTTCGCGGTAGGCTGCCGGAGGCTTTCCAGGATGCTCTCCAGCTCACCGGAATCCAGGGCCGCCTCTGTCTGCGCAAGTATTTGTCCTTTGAGCGTGAAGAGATCGTCGCGGGAATCGGTGGCCTTTTCCACTTCAGTCTTTTGTGAACTTGAATCTGATTTGCCCTGTGTACGCTTGGCCTGGTCCTGGTCTGCCGAGTTCCTGACTTGGCTGGGCCCGGGCTGGTCCTGGTCCTTTCGGAGGCTTTGGAGGATGCCCAGCAGCTCCCCTGAATCGAGGGCCGTCTCTGCCCGCGCCAGCATCTGAGCCTTAAGCTGGAAGACGTCGCTTTTCATTTTCTCTTCCTCCCGTGCCTTAAGCCGCGTCCTGTCCTCGCCAGCCTTCTTTGCACTCTTCTCAGGTGCACTACCAGTACTCGCAGTCTGTGAGGTTGCTGCAGGCTCTGGGAGTTGCTTCGTCAGCGAGAGATGGTCCAGGGCTTCTTGCAGGCTGCCAGTGGAGACGCTCTCCTGCAGCAAATCCCTCATCTTCTGCCTCAAATCCTGCACGCTCTCCTCTTGGGGCTGCTTCGAAGTCGCGCTCGGCTTCGGGGCCGGGAGTGGCTTAGCATAGGATTGCAGCACAGGTCCCAAAGCACCAGACGAGACAGCTTCGAGCAGGTGCGCCCGCAGCTTCGTCTTAATGGCTGCGACTTTGTCGAGGTCTTCGCTGATCTTTAGAGTCTTCTGGCTTTCCGCGACAGCTGCGAGCGTGTTCTGCAGTGCGCCTGTGTCCATGGAATCGAAAAGGACCGATTTCAAGTTGCCCTTCAGGCAAGAGAAGGCATCAAGTTCTCGGGTCGGCCCCGAGCTCTCTTCTAGAACCTCTGTCTCCTTGGTTTCAGCTGGCTGGTGTGCCGTGGCCAGAGGGGGAGGCGATGCCACAGCGTTTGCCACCACGTCTTCCAGCCTCCCAGAATTGTAAGCTTCCTCCAGCTTGTTTTTGAGAAGAAGCCGCAGATCCTCTGAAGTCGAAGCTGTTGGAAGGCTGGGCAAAGGCAAAGGCGGCAAAGGCGGCAAAGCCGGCAAAGCCGGCGCCTCTTCAGGCAACCGGACGGGCCGGCTGTGTCCCTCCTCGGACTCGGCCCCGGCCCGGGTGGAGCCCGTCAAGGGCGCGCTCTCGGCCTCCTTGGGAGCGGTCGAGGTTGTGGCAGCGGCTGCTGCGGCGGCCCCGACGTGCAGGAGCTCCGTGGGAGGCCGAGGCCTTGTGGGCGAGCAGCTGGGCGGAGGCTCTCGTGGTGGCACGGGCGTCCTCGCCCTCTCGGGCAAAGCACTGCCCGGCCTGGACACCAGCTTCTCCAGCGTTCGGGTCTTACTCTGAGCGGCACTGAGCTGCTCGATCATGTACGCATAGGGATCCCGAGGTCTTACTTGGATGACCGCATGAAGCAAGGACTGCACATATCTCAAGAGGCCGTGCTGCTCCAGGTAATCCTTTGCCGAAGCAGCGGCATCCTTGAAATTCGGGCCCGTGCTTTCCTGGCCTGAAGGGGCCGAGCCATTTTCTGCCTGGCTGTCCTGTGACTGCATCCTGAGGCCAATCACCATCTCAGTGGACTCCTCGAAGCCGATACTGTAGAGCTCTTCGTGCGGATGCAGAACCAACCGCGTTGTGGCAATCGGCTGCAGCACGTCAATTTTCAAAGGCTCCGACACCCCGTCCAGGGTTGCAGGAAACTTGAGCGGCTGCGTGACGAGTGTCTCAAGTGGAGCCTGCCGGCGCATCCCGCCACAGCGAACGGAGACGATGGCATCTTCTGGAAGGCCCAAGCAGTGATCCACTAAAACCTGCATGACCTCAGCCGAGTTACTGGACATTCCGAATCCAAGATGCAAGCGCTTCTAAGCCTGAAGCCATCTTCCAAGGATAAGCTCCGCACTCTGCCGCTGCAGTCGGGGCGACCAAGGCAATGGCGCTACATCCCAGCCCAGCTCAGAGCCAGACTAGCTGCGAGCATGGAACAGACATGCCGCGACACAAGTTCTTTCTGCGGGCTGGTGCAACTCTTGATTTGCAATAGTCTGGCAACGGTCACTGCTGACCCTCCGTTCACTACTGCTGCTGGGGACAGTTCGACCCAGGCGGAGGATGTGGCCTTTCCCAGTCTTTCACAGATTCACACGGAAGCGAGATCATGGAAGCCCCAGCCTCATGCTCAAAGAGGCGGCGTCGTGCAACCACGGCAGTACAAAGAGAAACGAGGAATGTTCGAACACACACGACCTTTCTTGATGCCAGTCTACCAAAGTCGAGTCAAAGTATTCATCACACGATGCAATACATTCTGTACCGGTCATGGGTGGCTGCCAACGTGTCCTTGCTTGCCGACCATCCTTCAAATTCTAGATTCCCCGACCACATGCTGGAAATGCTTTGCGGAAACCTACAATGCAGCGCATGATGTCTCCCTCCGTAAGACGCATGCAGTGAAACACATCGCACCGGATTTCCACCACTTTTCGTGTCCACCAAAGCTCAGCTAGCGCCACGTGCCCACCTTGCCTACGACAGCTCCCACAGCCGCATGTTTTCACGAAGGTCTGGATCATCCGGGATTCCATTTTGCTTGTATTCTTGTACCTCAGGTGGTCTACGTGGCTGCATGCAGCGTCTTAGGAGGCAGCGCAACAATCACAAGGGCTCTAGACTCCAGAGCAAGTCACGTACTCCTCGATATGGTGTCGCGCGATGTACCAGGCCACTTTCGCCTTGGCAGGTCCCCGAGGCAGGAAGCAGAAGCGATACTTATAGAATACTAAACCTCACAGATGCCGAAACCCAGTGCTGCGCAAGGTACAAGAGCCGTCGAGGTGAAGACTGCTTTCAGGCTCGACAAGATGGCTAATCGTCTTCGCAGTCGCTGGTTCTCTGCCCAAAGTGCCAAAGCCGTCTCGTTGGCTTTAGTCTTGGGCTTTCGAATAAGGGGCTTGCAGCTTAAAAACCTTTCCCCGTCCGGGAACATTTCAATGTCCAGGGACTTGTTGCCGTCATGCTTTTTGACGACGGAGGCAATCTCCCAACCACGCGAGGTGTCCACCTTGATACGTTCGCCTTCTGCCACGTCGCTGTACGAGTCACCTGGAAGCTAACACACGACACGCCACCCCTCGCTCAGGTAAGTTGCTGCCCATGCCCATGAGCAATCAAAAAGCATGCTGTGGCATTCGAGGTGTATCGAAGCGCATACAAAACTTCACCTAGCCATCCGGTTCCACCTCATGTGGCCGGGCACATAACTCAACTGATAGTATATTAAAGTATGTCGTACGTTATAGTATAGTATAGTATATAACTTATATAACAGTATATTATAGTATATTACATCAGAGTATATTGCAGTCATTTACGGTATGTAACAGTACATGAATACGTCCGGCCCGGCCTTGATCAAAGTGCGTGGCCTGATCTTGCATGCGTCTAAAGCGCGGCCGCACGGACTGCAGCTGCGCCCCTTATTTGCTAACGTTTGTCTGCGGCATGAGGACCCGCGTCAATGAAGCTGGAAAGTATTCTTACCACTAATATCCCCATTACAGTCACAAGTGTTCTTACTAGCACTATCTAGTAGTTGATCACTTCATCACTACGACGCCATGATCCCCAGGGCGAGGCTCCGCTCGGGAAGGCCAAGTCGAGGGTATCATCTTCGGGAGCTTTGCTGAGGACTTTCGCTGGCTGCCAGCCGCTTGAAGTTCCAACGAGGATCGTGTCATTCTCCTCTACCGTTGCCTTAGCCAGGCTTTGGCATGATGCCGCCCTGACACAGCTACCAGCTGCTCTCCTTTGCTGTCATGTCCTGCATGTGGCGGACCTGGCTATGTGGAATTCTCCCTTCACTGCTACATCACAGCAGAGAGTCGTAGCGCCACGGGTACCGTCGTGCCAGACCCCAGCTTTGCCTCAGGCATGGACTGGTGCACAATAACAAACGAGAGAGGCCAGGTCAGACTTGGCCTGCGGCCTGACATGCTCGCCAGCACGTGGGCTTGGAGCTGTCAGTTCCAAGTCCAACATGCCCTTGGCTTCAGCCGGCGAGGCAGCAGCGTGCTTCTTTACCAGACGGCGACAGTCACTCACGGCGGCCGAGGAACGGTCTGCAGGTTGTGAGCAAGGACCACACACGGCTCCCAAGTGGAGCTTCGACGAATGTCTTCGGAGCCGTTCACAATCACCTCAAGACGATCTCCTTCCACAGCCACTGGACTCAATGCAACAAGTTGCCCTGTTCTTTGCCGTCTCCCTAAGCAGTCCTTCAGCAACATCATCGAAAGGCACGATTGGGCTGGCAAGCACATCCTCCAAACCTGCGGTGCCACCCAAGCGTTGACAAGAGCGCCTGTTTTGTCTGGACGACAGTGTCGTCCGACCTTCTCGAGGCAGCAATTTGTGATCCAAACCATCCGCAAACAGAACTCGCTTCTCCTCCGGACAGTGCACACACTGGCGATGAAACGGATTGCTTAAACATTATAGATGCCACCTCCAAAAAGGGTAAGACTTCTGGGAAGACGTCGCTCTTGATGGCCTGGTGGCAACTCTACCATTCACCTCCCGCCCCACTCCCACACAGACTAGTCTTCTGTGGCACAGTGAGACCTGCAGGACGTCGAATGGCTCAAATGCGACGACCTGAGAAGCGCAGAGGGACTGGTCTTCCAAGTCCTACTCGCCCAGCAGATGAGAACCCTTCTTCCATCTTTTCCTGGCAGTTCGATTGGTCACGAAATCTGAACGGAGAAGCCGGAATGAGGCTGAGCTCTGTGGCCAAGTTCCGTTCTCGTCCCTTCAAGGGCCCTCTACCATCTGCGATCTAGCATTCACCATGTTTTGCAGCACGCCGTATTGCTTCGCAACCATGGCCAAACCTGTCGTAAAATGCAGTGTGGAACAGATTTTCAATTTATCCCGAGTTTGAGTCCGTGGAGCTCGCTTGCAACACATGGATGTCTCGAAAAGCTCATCATGAAATAGTCCAGCTGCTCTTAGAGCACGCAAGGCTACATTTATGGTGAACATGGCGATTCGCCATTGGCTCCCTCACAAAGTCTGGCAGATCTTAGATCACTTATCCGGAAGCGCTCTGACAACCTCGAAGATTCGCATCATGGCGTCGTGAAACCTCAGCGGGCGTGCGATGGTCTTTGATTGGCGGCCATGTAAGCCCACCCCACCGGCCAATCTACCAAACAGGGTCTACGCGATCTGCAGTGCCAGAGGTTTCCAAAGCGTCAGGCGACTCTGTCGGCAATGGCTGCCCCTGAACATGAGTCACCACCCACTTCGGCTGGATGTTCGCTTGGTCGGCATGGGAGTCCTTTGCGGTGAAGCTTCCAACGCATGCTCCTATGATCCCTACCATCGCCCCGCGCTCTTCTGCCCTATGACTTCTATGGCGTGGTGGACTATTATGATCGGGTCCTGATCGGGTGGACTAGTATGACTACTGCGACTTTCGACTTTACTCTGTAGTACTTGTAGAGCTTGCAGGTCCTAGTCCCGGTTTTGCTGTGCTGCATCTGCGCGTGGCTGCTCAATTCGTCGTTCTCTGTGCGCTTTCTTGTATGTTCTTTCTTTCGCAAGGCATTGGGAGCAGGTGTGGGGTGCGCCCTTTGTTGGCGGTATGCTCGCGGTCGGTTGTCTTTGCGTTATTCGCCATAGCCAGGCTATCCGCGACACTCCAACTATTTCTAACTACAGGATGGGCGGCCTCCTACGCCCTGGGTAACGAAAGTGTGCTTGTGCCCTGCAGTGGAAGATAACCGACAGTGGACTGATCTATGTTAGTGCTGTGCTTTCGGGGAATTCTGGTATTCTACTAGAACCTTACTAGAACTTCGAAAAGCGGCTAGAGCATTCCACCCTCCAGAAACAGCGCAGCACGGTCCTTCTTCACACCTTTCACGGTCATCGGAATGGACTTGCTGAAATCCAGGCCCAAAGGCTTGGACGGGAAAAAGATCTCCTGGCAAAGCACGCCGAATTCGAGGCTCTCCGGATCAAAAGCCACCCCAACCACACTCACTGGAAGCCGTCCCAGCCTTGGTCGATTTGTCCGGCAACTCGAAAGTGAACACGGCACCCTGCGGAAGTTTGGAGCATGCCACAACATGCATTCACGAAGCAGCTGGGCACAACGGAGTTCCACATCTCGGTGTTCGAAAGCGGTAACTGTTACAAACACTGCGGCACGACATCAGGAGGGAGCCTCATCTTCGACAATTGCCGCCTGCAAGCAACGAAGTCTACGGATCGACTTAAATTCTCACATGCCTTGGCCAAGGTGTATCGCTACAAACTCAGGCACGGACAGCAGCTGCGTGATCCGTGGACGTACTCAGTGGGATGCCCACGGTTTCTACAACCTGACATGTACAGCAGCACGAACAAAACGAATTGTGGGCAGGCTTCCTTGAGACAGTGCGACCAAGCAGCTTTTGGGGTACTTTCAGTCTGGCAGCAGGCGCAGAACATGTCTGACACCGGCGTTCAGGGAGTGCCCAGATATCTACGACCTACACCTCTACTTGGGCCGAAGCCTGGCGACAGGCCATGACGACGTCTGTCGCACAGTGTTTCTACATGGCATGATGCTCCCCTGGCTTCCACCAAAAAGCGGCAGATCCGAGGTGACCGAGGCCACAACTTCGGCTGCACGAAGCAGAGCCACCACCTAGACAATCGCTATCCGCTGTGCATGCCAAACATCTCGTCGAAGGATTTCAGACGTGTGTGCAAGTATGAGACACAGGCCGCCGACGAAGATTCCCCCCTGCAGCTGAGGTCGCTGCAGCCACGGCTCTGCATCTCACGGACGCTATAGACTTTGCAGGCATGCTGAAAACTGGCTCGAACCGTCACAGCCCGGAGCACACTCGTGCAGTCACTCAAAGGTCTTGCTGAAAGGGCGGCGCATGCACAAACAGGTCCTGGACCACAGCCGCTTGTGATCGCCACACAGCAGTCTCGGGACTGGCAGCACCTAAAACCTTTGCTTTAAAGCAGGTGGCCAAACTTCGGCCACTGCAGAAGGCGCAGCAGCGCACTTGCAGGTGAAGGACATCTGTGAGGGCGGCGAGGGGGCGAGGGGCTTTGTACAACAGCCAAGCCACGAAGAGGCGGCTGGAAAAGTGGGCATTGCCGTGCACGCGAAAAACACGCGAACATCTGCAAAGGAAACGGAAGGCTTCCACTGGTGCTCGATAACCTTCTCACGATCTGAGCGTGCACGGCTAAGACCGTTAAATGTATACGGGTCTTATGTCAGGGGGACCATCCTCCATGGTGGGTTCCTTCTCCTGAGCCGACGCATGTAATGCAACAGCTGAGGGAGGAAAAGCGAGCACGCGGCCAGCACAAGCCCCATTCTCCGAGGCAGGAACAGCCAACTCTTGCTCTGTGTGAGCCTTCAGCTTCTCCTGCAGCTTCGCACGGCTCTCTTCCAGCCATCCTCGGAGCAACCCGTGGGAGGGAGCAGAGGGGTAAAAGTTGAAGACGGGTGGCCCCGGTGCAGGTGAGCAGCTCAAGTGCGCTTGCAGCGCTTCCTGCCTCGCGCTTTCATCCGGGGCCTTGTCGTGGCCGGAAAGCTCTGCACTGGCCTTGCAGACTGCCGCTTAATTGTGACACACTGGTCTTCCCATGCAAGACACGAGCCGTTTGCCCAAACTGGCGGTGCAGCTGACCCTTTTTCTGCTCTGGCAAAGCACCCGCATCCACTCAAGCTTTACGGGCAAGCACAAGCAGATCCCGATTTAAATATGTGTTTCCTGCCTGCGGCTTCGACATTCTCACAAGGCTGAAGCCTGCATGTGTCAACAAGCAACGTACTATATCTGGAGAGACAAAATAGAAGCCTCCCACACTGTATTTCTGTTGCTTGGCAAATCGTTGCCAACCGTCAGGTGCCAGTAAATTAGCGAACGAGATGAAACAAAAGCCTCCTGGCCGCAATATGGCCCTGATACAATGCAGGGTTTGCCTCATCTGGTGCAGGTCCATGTGGACGAAGACGTCAAAGGAGTAGACAAAGTCGAAAGATGTATGATACTCCTCCGGGTAAGGTGCACCGCCATGAACCAGCTGGAACTCCACATTTCGATGGCCAAGTTCGCCGGCAATTCTGCTCCTAGCACATGCCAGCATGCCCTCACTCACGTCAAAGCACACCAACCGTTCAACTTTGGGAGCAACCCTCGCGGCGATGCGCCCGCCTCCGCTCCCAACCTCAGCTACCTTGAGGTGCTTTTTCTCTTCTTCGAGGTGGGGGTAAAGCCACTCGCTCAGCACGGCATCGAGGGACTCAACATCAGACCACTCATCTCCGACGAACTTCAAGGCACCAGCTTCTCTGGAAACATGGCTTGACATGCGCTGCACCCACGCCACGTCCGAACTCCAAGACTGGGCATAGGCATCCCAAAGCTTGCGGTTTGTCTCATGATTCGGTGTGTCTGTATAGACTGCACATTTTTGCAGATCCTTCAGCAGCTCCAGAACCATTGGGTTCTGTCTCTCCTCGGACTCTGCAACGAGCATGGCTTCGACTTGCTCCAGGCCGGCACCGTTCTCTCTGTCCTTGACGTCAGAGTCAGCTGCTGTCAGTGGCTCCATCGCCTCCTCTGCATCACGCTTTTGCAAGATCTCCAGCAGCCGGGCAGCGTGGGCTTCTGCCGTCTCCTGGTCTCGGCGGCAATAATCCATCCGATGCTTTCGCACTTTCAAAAATCTCGGGTCTAGATCTAAGCTTGTCTTGCCTCAAGTGCTCTACAGTAACCAACGAGTTGAGCTCAAGGCACTGATGCATGACCTAAATACCATGGTTCGTATCTTGAAGTGGCTGCATTCCGACGGCACTCTGCAAGAGAGTCTTTCGTCTCACTTACGCGTAACTTGTGCCGGGCCTTCTCCGCCGCCTCCTCTACACACAGCATGGAAGCCGGCTCCTGCCAGCACGGGCCCCTTGGAACGTCTCGGATCTTCGAGACTCCCAGCAAAAACAGGAATCAAAATGCCACTTTGTCACAGAGCTGCTCAAAGTCTTGTCGGGTTCAAGCCTTTTTTTGCACAGCTCGGCATCAGCACTGCGGCAGGGAGCCAACTCAAGTCAGAGTCTAGTTGTGTGCTTCCGCCCAAGCTGCAATTTCCTCGAAGGTTCCATGGCATTCGGACTCTGTCAATGGGCATCCGGCCAAATGCAAGATGAAATCCCCCGACTTCCAGGCAGAAGCGCCCCACTGCAATGCAGAGCCTTCCCCGTACAGATTCATGGCCTCCGCACACTGTAAGCCGTGCACGACACACAACAGAGAATACAAGTCTTTCTGCAGATTCCCGTGCGACAACTAAGGCCTGTGCATGCTGAGGCACCAGGCCGAAGTGAGGCGCCCACCGGAAGTCCCTAGAAAAGTCAGAGCACATCGTCGCACCGAAGAGGTCGGACTCTCGGGCCATCTGCTGCAGAAGCATGGTCTGGTCCCAGACGAAGCGCCAGTCGCTTTGCATAGCCTCCTCCAGAAAGCGGAGGCCTCGCCTTTCTGCGCCTCCTCTTACCAGAAACACACCGGAGTTGATGCCGGAGACCTCCTCCGCCACCACGAAGTCTTTGTCGGAGAGCTGGTAAGTCCGGAGCAAGGACTCCACGGAGATCGAGCGGTTCGTCACCAAAGCATCGCAGTCCAGCCACAAGAACCAGTCCGGAGGCCTCTCGCTTCTGAGCACATCGATCGCAATCTGAAGCTTTCCGAACTGGGGCTCCTCTTCGGCCAATGGAGTTTGCGTATGCATGGTGTACTCATAACCCCACCTCTCAGCATAAGACTTGTGGTTGTGCTCGGTTATGCCAAACGTCACGTTTTCCAGATTTCCCCCGGCAAAGTTCGAGTCACAGAGGGAGTGCACAACCACCCAGTTCTGATGGTCTGCGTCGACGATTTGCCACTCTTTCTCTTCCAGACCATACTTCATGTGTAAATCACGGAGCTTCGAAGCATACTTCGTGGAAAGTGTACTCCTGCACTCGCAAGTCAGAGGAACCTCCTTCTCTCCTTCCTTGACCGCCCTCCTGACCCCGGACCGTGCGGACCCCCGAATCTTACGCCACGTCTCGAAAAAGCAATAGGATGCTTTTGCAGTGAAGTCTCTGAGCTTCCTTTGCTGCCCTCGTCTCCTCCGGCCTCTGACTGAAGCCATGACATGGTCTGCAGCCGAAAAACTCTCAGAAGTGTAGCAGAGGCTAAGATTTAGCCGGGATGCCGGAAGAGTGCTCGGGAGAGGGCCATGGTGCGGATCGGCGCACCAAGCTGCAACAACGCACGCCCGCGTCGCGGCTGGCCAGCCTGCACTGCCTCAATTTCTACTGCTATCCTCTGAACACTGAGTATACTCTGGACTCTGCCATCTGTCTTGTGGCTGCAGGGTTGCCAGCTCGCTCGCCCATTCGAAGTAGCTTGAAATCAAAGTTGGGCAGCTGTTCGCCACTTGCCTGGTCGATGCCACGAAAGAATCAGCCGCAACAGCAAAGCAGTGCCAGAGCCATGTTTTCCGAGCCAGGCAACGGGAAAGGAAGACCGGCTGTTCCTGAGACCACTTGCCGAAACAAGGCCAGCTGCAGGCAAAGCCCTCGGGCAGTGCCCTCCGGAGATGCTTCCTCCAGTTGCACACGCTGCCTTGGTGACTGGAACTGGTGCTTGGGCGAACTTCAGCTTGCGGCCCGGGTGCTCGACAAGAAGGGCCGCCCCGTGAAGCTGACGCCAGAAGGTGGTAAAGGCTGCAGGCAGCTCGTGCAGGTAGGGGCAAAAGCCCTGCAAGTCTTTCCGGACGGGGTCGGGCGCCTCATCTGCCAGATCCTCCGAGACCGCGCTGCAGATCCAGATAAGCTTCAACCACCTCAACATAGCGCCGCAGCGGCTGCACGTCAGGCGCTCTGCCTGGCAAGGTGAGACGGAAACCAGCCATTGCCGAAAGAGCCCACGTCATCAGCTGCTCATCTGGAAGGAACGCAGCGACCCCCTCTGTGAAGAGTGCTAATGATTAGTCTTCAGTCTTGAGAAGGACACTTCCTGCAAGTGCTACTGTCCAAAGAATGCCAAAGAACCGACCCGGCCGCCGGCAGTGGCGGATTCCAGGCCTAGGCCGAGGCCGCCGAGGCCTCGAGGCCTTCTTTCAGCCCTTCGACCCGAAAGCCCCCTCAGCATCCTGGCTGCTGTCGGAGACAGAGTAGGACTCGGCCTCCGGAAACAGGGCCGGGACAGCAGCTGCTTGGCTCTCTGCAGCATCGCTCCCTCGCCTCGCTGTCGCTGCCATCCGAAGTGCTCTTCTCGCCTCCTCGCACGCGCGCGCGGTCCAGCGAAGCAGCGACGCTCCTTTCGCCCGCGCGCGCTGGGCGGCGGAGGTCCTCGGCTTCGGCTCCTGGAGCTGCCTGAGCACCGAAGGCTCGCCCCATGCGGGCAAGCCGCGAGAGAAGGTCACTCCTAATCCTAGCACTCCAAGCGCCGAAAAACTACTTTGAGACGTTTCTTCTTGACCCTGACCTAGGGGAACCGCAGATTCACATGTTGAGGCCGCGACCTCGACTTGTGCGGCCCATGACTTTCCTGACAAACGCATCTGGGCATTCTGCGGCACGGAGGGCTTTCAGCACACCCGTGCAATCGGCTTAGGAAGCCGTGACGGATGTTCAGAGGTGCCGGCTGCAAGCGGAAGAGAAACGGTGCCTCGCTCGGAACGGAAAGTAGCACACCGATCGAGTCGGGCCGGGTATACCTTGGGCCCACCTCGTCCGCAAAGACCACTGCTTGAGCGATGTCCGCTGCCTGAGGTGTTTGCTGTTGGACTCAATTATACAGCATCACCAACTCTCTTCAAGAGGCTGCCCGCTTGACTGAAGCTCGGCCATTGACAATAATGATCTGCTTCTCTTCCTCAACCTTCACATGTGACGTGCGAGCCCCTTCCACACCGATACACCAACTCTCGAGTGCCAAAGTCTCACCCTGCCCGACAACAACATGTGAAGACGAGTACTTTCTGACATGGTGCACACAACTATTCTGGCCTTCGCCTTGGCGCGTTCGTGTTTCAGTCTGTCCTCCCACTCCTAGTGTGGCAGACGAGGCTTTGCTGGCGGTCGACATGGATTCTATCAGCAGCAGGAGCCTGAAACCGCTCTTCATTGAATGTTTGCGCGATCGCAGTTTGCTCCTGGCACCTCAAAGTTTCTCGGACCAGGAAATTTCTGACCTCCTTGCTCTCCGTTGCTAGCATGGAGCAGGGAACTTAACATCTCTCACCGGGAGCAAGCATCAATGTGCACAACAGAGGCTCGAGCATGAGTGGGTCGCTCAGTTGCTGCAGGTGTCGCGCCTGCAGTACATACTGGCTCGTTGCAAACTCGTGATCGCTCGTGATCATGATCTCCCTATGGTTCTCTGAAGTCTAAAGGTATTCGAAAGCCTACCAAGCGTCGCTCCAGACATGTCAACAGCTCACTTGCATCTGTCTCAACATGTTTCAGCCATTTGTCATGCCCCAGATGCAAAGCTTTGCACCTCTGCTCTCGCCAAGACATGCTTCGCCACGGGCCTTCAAGAGGATCACTGTCAGTAATGCCGGCATGGGATAATTGTGTCTCGGCTCAGGGTGCAGCACGTCCCCTGGCCGTCCTCAGAAACACATGCCTACGACGTTCCCATGACTTACGGAGCAAGTGAGGCAAGGAGCACATGCCGGTGGACAAGAACTGAGAGCTGGGCCAATGAGCCGCACGAGTGATCGCTCCATCGAAGGCACGGGAGACATTGTTGGTCCCACCGATTACAGCACAATTCTAAGCCACCTTGCGGTGATGGCAAACCGTGTAGACGGCAAAGCCCTTCGCTCTGCCGCGCTGACTGCTGCAAGTTTCGTGTCAACTCGTAACTACTGTAACTACTACATTTTGGTTGGTTTGTCATGCCTTCTTGGGTCGCCTTCGAAAGCTGCAGTGCAAGATACTGAACAAGAGCATGCGCATGCGCACAAAAAAGAAAACACAACGGCTTGCCGAAGTGCAGAGCATACGTGCTCGCACCGCTTTTTGTCCGAGCTGCCGAACTACATAGTATCTCGCGGCCTCTTTCGCGAGATGTCCTGTCACAAGGCAACGGCCGTGCCGCGGCTGCTAAGACGTCACCTAACAAGACAAGTGCGCCTGCGCCTGCGCCTCGAGCATGGTGGCCTGTCATGCACATGGCAGCAGAAATTATGCAAGGCGCAACGAACTGAACAGGAGAGACGGTGGCTGCAACAATTCTAGGTAGGGACTCTTCGGCTGTGCCAAGACATCCGCGCTAAACTGATGAGAAGTCGACCACATGCCTTGCAAACGATACTTGTACAAGCCAAGGAAGGAATTGTCACGACTGCAATTTCGCAAAAATCGGGTCATGTTCATGTCCAGTTGTGGCTGACAAGTTCTGACAAGCATTTTGGGGGTGCTAGTCGGTGAGCTGGAAGGCAAGGCTGAACGTCTCAAAAGCTTTCAACGGCACACAGAATCGCTGGACGCATGGGAGTGCACGGTCTCCGTGCACCAACCCCGGCACACAATCCGCGTCGAGAAATTGCACAAGTCCGAAGGTGCCATAAACGGGACGCTCCCACTTCCAAAAGTGATGCTGGTTTAAGACCTGGAGACGCCAAAAGCCAAGCCCCTCGAAGCTTGCGAGATCTCGTGTAGGCACTTGAAGTCACTCGAAGAAGAACAGTGCGAACCGGATCTGAATCTGGCTAGAGCGACCCCACCAAGACTGGTGCCAGTGTGAGCAGTGGCTGAGCACCTTTTTGGAGAACACTTTGCAAGCCTCCGCAATGATTACGGCGTTGGGATCCGATCCTCCCATCTGAGCCTTGCCAAAACATGCAGTCGGGGCTTGACCCTGTGTCGACAACATCGATGCAGCACAGGTGCTGCAGCTGCCGACTCCAGCAGCTTCACAGAGGCGCGGAGGGGAAGGCGAGCCAGCGCTTTCAGCGTGAGATCCTACGAGAGCGAGAGCGAGCATGAGTCGATGGGGGCGTCCCGTCCCGACTTCGCTCCTCCAGGGAAAGCCCGAGCTCGGCAGCCTTCTGCCTGAAGCGTCGGATGTTCCTCTGCCTCTGTCTCCTGGCCTTGGCGCTCTTCGGCACATCGGACATCGCCTCGTCTGGTTTCCGGTAAAGTTCATGCCGCCGGACATTCCACCTCAGCGGGAAAAAGGGGTGATGTGGCAAGCTGCGGCGATTAGGTGGAAACTCCAAGTATTGGGCCCGTCCGCACAATCTTGGCAATAGCTGCCTGCAGGACAAACATGCAAGGATAAACTCACTAACGAGTGCTGCAGCAGCCTGAAGATAGTTGTTGGGATTGGCGATGCTCACCTGTTGAGGCTTGACGTCTATCCACATGGTGGCGGGTGTCTCTGCTGCAAGCAAAGTGTTGCACAGCAGCTGGGGTTCCAACACCACCTTTGCCAGTGCCTGGTCGCACGACTGTGCAGAAACTGGCCGGTGGCTACGAACACTGGTCATGGCTCCAAGCCTTTGGAATACAAAGACCCCAGGAGGTCCATTGCTTGCTCCTGCAGCACTGACTCTTTGAGAGAGACAACAGCACGTAGGCCAATGAAAGTCCTCCGGGAGGCATCGCAGTGCCAGCAATGAATTGGCATCAAGGTTCTGGCCGTTCCACAAGTCCTCACAACACTTCCTTTGGCATCACACAGAGACCCACTTCGAGATGCATTCGCTCCCGCTGGTTGAGATCCAGCACTGCCCGTTCCATCACAGTAACGTCCGGAGGGACCTGCCATGGCCATCAGAGACACAAACTCCTCTTCCATCGCGCTCTTGCGATTGCCCGAGGCTTCTTTTCTCGCATCTGAACGCTGCAGCTGATCGATGACGGAGCAGGCATCCTGCAATGGCGGCTGCGACTGTCACATGTACAGGTGGACAAGCAGTGACTGACAACTACTGCGAATCTCAAGCTCGAGATATCAGGATAATGCCGCTTTTCCTCCTGCGTTAGGTCAATCTGCCACAGCCCATTGGCCGGAATCTCCGTCGGTACTGGATACTTCTGGCACCGAAGCTTCCAGCCAGCGTGGCAAAGTAGTCAGCTCACGTAGATCTGCATCCAGCCCGGCCTCGCAGACACAAAGGAAGCCAAGCCTCCCTGACAGCATTTATATTGGCATGTTTCAACCAAGAGGCGGCGATCAAAGATGTCTTCATGTACTTGGCAAACTCCGTCCACTCTTGAGGCGTTACATCGTCGTCTATGCTTCCTTGGCAAGACATGCGAAAAGCAGGCTGCCCCGACGAAACAACAAGCCCGTGGACGTGGGGGATGTCCCACTTAAGACTGAGTTGTGACTTTCTTTCAGAACTCACGCCAGAGATGCAAATGTACGCTGTCGACTTATCACTCATGACATCTAATGACACTAGATCGTAGCAACCGGAGATCTCCACCGCATCTCATCTGCCTGCCATGCCAAGTGCTGGATCACATCTGGGGGTGCGGTGTCTTCCTCCTCAGACTTCGCCACCTGTCTTCGGGACACCGACATCCAATCCGGCACTGCGCAAGTGCCAAAGTCCCGCAGTTCTACCAAAACTGTCCTCCACGATGGCTTGGATTGCCGGGAGCACACGTGCCACAGGAAGCTGGGCGCCCCCGGCTTCAGAACGTTGTCAGCGACGACCACGGCGAAGCTTCGCAGTGCACCACCCTTCTCCAGCTGCTTCAGGTCTTCCAGGAAGCGGGACCCGCGTTGGTCGAAAAACACGAAATCGAAGGACTCTGCGGACTTGGCCTCCGCACAGAGCTTGTCAAGGCAGAGCTCGGAATGTCCAAGTCGGATGTCCACGACTTCCTCGAGACCGGCATGAGCCACCATTTCTCGTGCTATGAAAGCGAAAACAGGATCCATCTCTAGACTGATGACTCGGCCACGCCACCTCCGAACTGCAGCTCCCAGACGAATGGCTGAGAAGCCCACATAGCACCCGATCTCCAAGACCGATTTTGGCTGCAGAGTCTCCAGCACCTGCTCCAGCACCTGGGCCTTGTCACCGCCAGCCACTTTGAGCCATAGCTTTCGGTGTTCGCAGAATCTCTCCACTGCGGAGAGGACGGCCTCTGGGTTGCCTTTGGCAGCGAAGCGCTTTGCAAAGTTGAGCAACTCTGCCTCACGCACGGCCCGTGAAGGCCACAGGAAGCTTCGCCCTTGGAGGCCAAGGTGTGCCCAAACGCGCTGCTCGCAAATCTCGCGGCGAGGGCCCAGCTCCGCTGCACCAACCAGGAAAACGCTGGCCAATTCCTCTGCATGAAAATGGCTTCCATACCCTTCCCACCTCTTATGTGCCAGGTTCTACGATGAGACTACAATTAAGAAACTGTGTTGGATGATTCTAGAATTTGCTTCGGCACCCCGGCACCCTAACATGACTTGAAGATTGCAATCGGATCCCAAACGGAACCAAACTAGCCATCGAACCCCAAAATTATTCCAACCAAATTCCTCTGGAACACAAGGCAAGCAGACTCCCCAACTGGCTCCTACGGCATCTGCTGTTTATGTTTGCTTGCAACATCTGCTGAGACTTACCAGGAACAGTAACAGATTTTCGCATTCAGAAATACGGCCCAGATTCCGGGCTGAGTTCGGGTACGCTCCGGAGCGCCTTGTCCAGGAGAGTCCCAAACTCGTCGTGGAGCCGGAGCTTGAGCAGGCCTCGAGCCAGCATCGCAAGAGCACGCAGGTCGACCGACGAAGCGTCTGTCGCTGCCGCCTCCTCGGCCAGCTCCCGAAGGCAACCCTGCACTACAGCCAGGACTCCAGCAGGGACGGACCTGTGGTGGAGCCGCGCATGGCTGAGGCCCCAGACCAGGTTGGCAACCTCCTTGGCAGCCAGCGGGCCGGAGATCAAGCCTCCTGTGCTCAGCACGGCTGCCAGGTCCTCAAGGTGGCCCACTGCTCGGAAGGTTCCGAGTGACCACGCGGTGATGGAGAGCTCTGAAGCAGACATCTCCGGGCTTTGGCACACGGCAGCAGCACAGAGCTCTGCGTGGGCTTTGGGACTTGCAGAGAACTCCAAAGTCGCAAAGCCCCACAAAATATTGGCCAGCGCTCGCGGGGTCATCTCCTAAATGACGACACGATTTAACAACAAGCTCTTCTCAGGACTGAGTCAAGACCCTCCCAAAACAGAGCCAAGCTGCGCTCATTCTGCAAACAATCCCGACCTCAACTGCAGCCAGCAGCTCCGGGTCCCGGTAGCCTCCAGATCGCTTGCTTTGGATCGATGCCCCACCGGCCGCTGCACAGGCCCAGACGACTGCGGCCAGGTGCTGGGGCGCCAGCTCCGCCACGCGCTGCCGCGCGGCGGCTCCCAAAATCGAGAAACCCGGCCGAGGCCGACTCGGCCATGGCCCCAGAGTCGGCCGGAGATGTCCGTGCTCCAGGAAAGGCCCCAGCCTGGCTGCGGACCACAAGATGTTCGCCAAATGCTGGCCACTCAAGGACTGCTGGACGCCTCCTGCGCTCGCAAGGAGCTCCTGCACCGCAGTGCGGCTGGCTGCGTCGTCCCGGAACGCCTGGACCTGCGCTGCCGGCGCCGCAGCTGCAAAAGCCCAGAGGGTGTTGGAGAGCTCTTGCGGACCGAAATCATGAGCACATCCTTGTGCGTGAGCAGCGAGATGTTTCAGGAGAGGTCCATCTGCGCAGCTCAGTTTCACGAAGCTCCAAGCCAGGTTGGCCAGGTGCCGGCTGTCACACGTCGGAAGCTCACGGATGGCCGCAAGCCTCAAGGCTGACAGCGCAGTGAATGTGGCATCTGATCTCACGGCCAGGCGGGCCATGGACCACACCACCTGCGAAATTTCGAGTATTCGTACTTGAGGCTCCCTGATCCTCCGCACCATCACGTGGAGAATGCGATGAATGGCCTTCCTGGCTGCAGATGCATCTGCAAGCTGCGCGGCGGCCCACGCAAGTCGCCCGAGGTCCGCAGCAGAGTGTTCGTCCGCATTGTCGACGGCGGCCTCGATCAGCGAAGGCTCAAGCACTCCGGTGGAGGTGGCGGCAAAGGACCAACAAGCCTCGGCAGTCGGCAGAGTGAGCCGTTTCCATCTGCGGCGAGCGCTATTCAAAGGCCAGGTACCACCCCAGCACATCTTCACTTGAGCTATTTTCCTCAAGCCCACTCCGGAAGCCCTTCCTAGCCGAGAAGCTGTCGCCAGATTGCTTGGTTGCAGCTCTGTTCGACGTTCCGACATCAACAAGGATAACTTCAGCCATTCTGGATCCCTGGTCGTGTCGGTCCGCCTTGCATACCTATGCCATCGGGCCACGGCATGAGCAGCGGAGACCAGCCTTTCTGCAGGAAGGCCAGCCCAACAGTAGTCCGGCTTCTCCAGAACCAGCTCCAGCACCTCTCAACATGCGAAGTCCACACACATCCGTTCTCTCTGCAGATTAGAAACACTCGAAGCACCAGGACGTGTTCTTGCAGAGTGGGTGGTGCTTGGTTCGTGTGCAGAGTTCGCAAAGAACCGATGCTAGGGTAAACCATGGTAAATGCAATCCTCGAAGGCCTGCGACGCTCTGCTGCATCGTTTCCAGTGGGCTGCGGCCCTCCCGCCATCCATGCCATGCTTTCAATGAGTCTCTGGCAGTTGCAATCGGGACGCCTTTTCTAAAGAGCAGGGGCCGTGTTGGGCAGCAGTCTCGACGCCCAAATCACGTTACAAGTACATCATGCTAAAGTGCTGACGATAGTATTCTGTTGTGACACGCTGGTGAAACTTGCCGGGCTGAAAGCTTCTGAACACTTTGAGCCCGATTGGCGCATTGACTTGGACCACGCGAGACCGGCCGGTGACAGCACCATAGGTAATTTGCGAGCACAGTCACAATCCACTGTTACCGTGTCCACTGTGGGTACAGGGTCCTGCTCGCCATTTGATGGGACCGCTGACTTCGAACAGCTGCTTCCTCGTTTTCCATGGCCTGGCCAGACACGAAGCTCGGGAGAACATACACAAAATCTTCCGCGAGCTGGCTTTCCGCGTCTTTTCCCAAAGCAAAGCTTCCGTGTGAACCTGATCGGCGCTTTAACAGAGTCGGTGCGTCGTCTCACCGCCTTAGCTCTCGTCCGCAGATACGAACTGGCTACGAAGCTGGATCTGGTGTCGTCGATGGGGGTGGCCGCGAGGGGGAACGTGTGCTCGAATGTCCTGGGAAGCTTGCGAGATCTTTTGAACTCATCCGGGGGCATAGTTGTCGTCCCAGAACGTGCCCACCGCATCGCTACAAGGTGAGAGGCATTTGTGCTTTGATCTGGTCGACTTTGTCCAACATCGCGTCACGCTGTCTTTCCCGATCTCCTTCTGCAGTGGTGTAGCCCACGGGATAGTCCAACTTCCCAGCCTCACCTAGACTGCACCGGCACAGCGGAAAATGGAAAGCCCCTCGGCTGCATCCATAAACAGCTCAGCTCTGGGCTGATCATTCCTCTCATCAAGCTCTGGCTTTTTCTCGCCTGGTCCTTCTCAGAGGAGCGAACCCTGGCGAGCTGCTGCTTCCTCGGGGAGACACCGCAACTTTGATGGTCTAATAAGCAAGCCGCAAGCTGCAAGCCAAGAATCGCTTCTGCGTTTTGTGGCTCATGCTCCTTACAGTAGAGGATTGGGCAGCACTTTGCAGTGCAAGATGCTTTCGCCAGATAGGAGGAGCTCATAGTTCATGCTCACTCACTCAGCCCGGCACCAGCACAGAAAGGAAGTCATGCTTTGCCTTCTCTGGCTCTCCTACGCTGAGGTACCTAGGCCGTGGCAAAGCCCCAGAAGCGCCTCGACTGTCTTGAGCTGGCTTACTGTAGATGCGACAAGCAGCGCAACACCTCGCCGAAACAGTGCCTTGACGTTGCCGGGATCTGGCGAACTGATTCCGCCTCACAGTCTACAAGCAGCCCAGAATGGCTCATCCAAGGATTGCGCCCACTGGGGCGCTCAATTTCATCCTTCAGAAACTATCGCGCCTCCGTTGAGAATCTCCTCGGTCAGCCAAGTTCACGTTTAGAGGTGCTTACTCACCCATCCGGTGCATGTTACAGTCGCCAGTGGCTTACATCTGCGTTTGCAGCGACGCACTGAGCATTCCTGCAGACAGGTATCAGTGCAGAGGTCCACTACGTCGCGGAACTGTTCAAGCTTCAGCCAAGCCATGACTTCGTTGCTGCGGCAGGTCTGGCGAAGCTCATCTCCAGCTGAGCGTAGCTCCTCAAGGATATGGAGCTGACTCAGCACGCGGTGCCGTGTGATGCTTCAGTGTCCTCTGGCCAATCGTCCACGTAGCCCATCATATCCTGCACGGACCTGTACCTCAGCTAGGTCTAGACACATTCGCTAAGCAATCGTGAGACCTTCGGTCCCAGGTACACCCAGCAAGCACGTCGAAAGTCTTTGGCTTTCATGAAGTCGGCGCCACGTTGTTTCAGCCGTTTGCCCTTTTCGACTCGATGCATTGGCAGGAGGTCCCAAGTGTCCGGAGTCCTCACCGGGGCGAGGAAGAGGAGGTGCGGTTGCAACTTCACAACTGCTGGGATGTACCTACTGCCATGCTGTCGATGGCCGTTCAGAATGCTGAGTTTCCACATCTCCCGGCACGACCTGTCCTCTGGAAGTCGATTAGTTCAACTTCGATTTCCACGGGGCCGCTACTAGGACAAAGCCCCAGCTCGTCGTCTTGACACATCGCGGGGTCCTCTGCCACAACGACACACCTTCGTCACAGCACAACCACATTCAATTCACCATAACCCTGACTACTACCTGGAAGAATCCCGATGAGGCATCTCATCTCAAGAAAAGCACACGTCGCGCCGTTGAAGCAAGTCGCTTCTCGCCCTTGAACATGCTCAGCACAGCACATTCCACCGCTTCACAACGTTGTCCAGCAATCAATTCCCACATCACCTGCTTGCCTTGTGTCAGGTTGGGGTTTCACATGCCACATCTATGCCTAATCTAGCCAGTGCCTGCCAAGGTGCCGTTGACGACTGCCGAGATCTGGGACAAGTTGTTCGGCTTCTTGGAAGCATCACCATCCATCTGCTGCCTCTTCATCAGCCGTGGAAAGTTTTTCTCTCCACATCTCTGGAACAAGCCACAGTCCTTCACGAGGAACACATCCAGCAACTCCAGCTCCAACGTCACCGTGGAGTTGCGCGGCACTTTGGATTCGAACGCTGAAGTGCCGTCGTACCCATACTGCGGTGTCAGTGTGACGGTGGCCTTCTCGTGCTGCGACATAGACGTCACAACAAGCTGCCAGGTTTTCTCCGGCAGCTCCAGGGGGTTCGGCCCTGAAACGTTGGCTTCAACTCCATCTGCCGGGCTTCTTGTAAATTCAGCCCCTTCCACATACCCGGCGTACCGCAGCTTGATCGTCCACCCAGGATAGGGTTTCTTGAAGCCTGTACCCTCTACCTGAACCACCTTCACGACGCCTCCGTCAGAAGTCAGGGAATTCGTCCTTCTCCACCACAGCAGCTCAACCTCAAATGTTAGAGTTGCCTGTGGCGGGATTTTGCCAGGAACACCGTCTCCGTATGCGAACTCTGGACCCACAATAAATTTTGCCCGCTCCCCTTTGCACATGGTTGCAATTCCAAGATCAAGGCCCCTGTTGATCTCGCCCTCGCCGAGCGTGAATTGAAAATCGCCCGACTGAAGATGGGTGTTGTGAAACTCCGTGCCGTCGGGCAAAAACCCTCTGAAATGGATATGGACCTCATCACCAGCTCTTGGTCGGGCGATGCAATCGGTGGGCTCGGAAAGAGTTTCCTTCCACACACCTTCAGGAAGCCCGGCGTCGTCAGCTACAGGCACCGCAGCCACCGAAGGCTCCATCGATGAGACGTGACGGATCTACTATGCAGGCACCGCCCACCCACCCGCCCTCTGAAGAGTCGCGTCAGGCAAACTACGCTGCATGCGACCACTGAAGTACTGGCAGCTACCTGCAGAAGCTCCTGTGATGAAATTCTGAATCGAAACATGATTCAATTGGCATGGTTTCTTCTGCTAGCGGTCCTAACCTGCAGAAGCGAGCTATGAATCTATCCAAGGGCTGCTTCAACAGCTCGATCATCGCTTCTCCACCATCGAAAAGCAGGCCGTCTCCTTTATGTCCCTCGCATGCGGTGAACGACAAGCTCTGCTCACAAACGCCTGCAAGCCTACAGCCTGAAGAACGAAAAACTTGGGCGAGACTGCCATGCCTGAGGCATGCAGCTGCACCCTTTAAACAAACCAAGGGCCACGCCCCCAGAGATTCACGGGCATATGGTGCACGAAGTGCCATACTAGGACACCAACCCAACCGTCGCGGCACTCATCAACTTTCGTTGCTTCAATGATCTCCTTCTGCAGGGCTGCGGGGATCCACCAGTTCACCATGTACCCGGAACCTTTGTTCTCGTTGGCAGCCATCACGAAGCAAGCATCATGAGGGCCCAGGCTTGTTGAAAACATGCCGGCACCCCAAGGCCACCAGGTTGAGATCAGATTCTTGCTGCCACTCTGGAGTTTCATCACGTTCTTGCACGCGTGATACGCCTGCTCCTCTCCCGGATACGAAATCTTAGGGACTGGCGGCATCTCCCACTTCCCTGGCTCGCCGATGCAGCCGTAGTTGCAGTCCCCAATCGCGAAAATTGTGCCATCAGCCCACACGCCACCACCCTCGCTGGGCTTCTTTGTGACCTGCAGGTGTTTGTTGAAATGGATCCAACCACCTCCACCCGGGCCTTTGTCTGACAGCGTGCATTTCGGCATGAAGTAGTTGGAGGCCTTGACACCAATGCAGACATAGGTTTCATCGGCACCGTTTGGTAGCTCGATCTTCTTCCAAAAGTCTGGGCTCTTGGGGTCATAGCCATAGTTACTACCATAGAACTCCTTGATGCCACAGGCATTCATGTATTCCGAGCAATACGTTGCCGCACTGTCCGGCAAGGGCCCAAGGCAGCGAGGAAGGAAGTCGATGATGGTGAGCTTCAGATCCGGGAAGAAGTGTTCGAGCTCTGTTGCCCATTCCACTCCAATAAACCCAGCACCCACCACAAGTATAGTGGCCTTCTTCTTATTCAGATCCTGCAGCTTGTGGTACTCTTCTATGACATGGCGACGACGGCCTTCCAGAAAGCGCTCATCGATGTGTTTCCAATCACTGATTGCCCTACCCTCCTCATGGACCGTCGGGAACCACAAGCTCTCGCCCATGGGCTTGAAGGGTCCGAAGTTGCAGCCCGAACAGATGAGGCAGTAGTCAAAGCTAATCTCATCCACGCTGTTCGAGCTCATGGTCTTGATGCTGGCAGTCTTCTTCTCACCGTTCAACTCCTTCACCTGCAGAGTGGGCGCAGAACATGCAAGCTGCGCAAGAATGGCCTCGAAGCACTCGAAGCATCACACACCCTACCGGCCCTAGCGGCCCCAGCTCCCGTCCTCTCCCCAAATGTACTTGACGCCCATCTTGCGCTCCAACACCGGCTGCAGGGTGAAAGTCAAGGAGTCCCAGTGCGCCGGCTTCACGAAGGCCCGCAGAACGCCTCAGGCTGCAACAACCGCATCAGGCCGAGGACTGGGTGACGAGAGCACGCTGGAGGACAGTAGACGGTAGAGGACCGTAGAGGACGGCAGAGGACGGTAGTAGTGTCGAGTTGTGGACAGTAGGGGACAGTAGAGGACGTACACCCACTGACGTCTGCTCAACAAGAAAGGGTTTACAGCCCAAACGAAAATGAAAAATCGGCCCATGCGGCCTGGCGTATACTCGAAATACTCCTTGGCGTCAACCACAGTGACATAGAACTTCTTCTTGAGCTCCCGCGCACAGAAAGTTCCGGTGAACTGCGAGCCTGAGCGGAAGGCGTTGGACATGAAAACCCTTCTGAAGCTTCTCCAGCGTCCGCCTGTCGCAGCTACTCCGTTGCGGACTAGTGACTAGAGTTAACGTCGACATTAAGCTGAACAAATCCTTAAAGCCGAGTCGCCTATGACCAAGCACCGCGGCTTTGGCTTTGGTGCCATGGTTGCTTTCAGAAGCTGCTGGCAAAGCAAAGGCTGCAGATTTGCACATGAAACACTGGACAACTACACCCACAACCCAGCGCTTCCAGCTGACAATGTGGCAACACAGCGGCGAAGCTCAGCCACATGCGGGCCTCGAGTCCAAAGGATCGACCAGTGCCTTCCGGGGCATTCTGGGAACGATCGACCACGTGCGATATCCAAAGAAGCTCGTTCAGAGTGAACATGCAAAGACCCAGCAAGGCTGCAAACTCTGCCGAAGGCAACATTGAAGCGACCTTTTTCAGGGCATGGAGATGCGTGGTGCTCCAATCGATGAACTTTTGCCACCCAAGTCGAATCCACCTCCGGGTTCGGAGTTAGATTGCGTGCTGGTTTTTTTGGATGAAGAGGAGTAGGGGCTAGCCGGCATAGCCTCCATGTTCTCGAAGTTCTATGCTGCCCTGTCTGCTTACGGCATCCAGGCCGGAAACTGCACCGCTACTCTGGCGCCGCATATGGGCACTGGAAGGAGCAGAAAAGGTCCCATCACACTGGGCAGCTCGAGACATGATCTTCTGAAGCAAGCCTCGTCGATCTTCTGGCCCAAGCTTCTCCCCGAAGAGCGGCGTCTCGTAGTGGCCCTCCTTCAACACCGGCTCGATAAGGACCTCGCCAAGCAGCTCAGGACAGGGCCGTTTTCCTAGACCGATATCACTGCAAGCGTGGACGAGATCGTAAGCGATCGTCTCGGAGACCACGGAATCCATCTTGTAATCTTTGTGAGCGTGAACGAAATTTCGCATCCAAGTCGCGGGAGTCATCAGCTCTCCGGTTGCCCTGTCTTTGATGAGCTTCAAGTACTGGTCCAACCTCTTGAAAGAATTCTCGTCACAACCGATGTGCTCCAAGTAGGCATAACACAAGGGCACAAGTCCGGGGAAGTAGCAGCTCTTGCCGTTCATGATCTCGTCCATGGTCATCTCCTCGAAGCTAGACTTGGACTCTGCCTTGGGCCCTTGCTGTGGACAGAGCTGCTGCATCACGTCGTCGGTGTCATCGGGCAGAATGTGCTTCCGGAACCAGAACTTGCTTCGACGGACAGCATCCACGCCGTGAGCGCGCTTCATGTTCTCATCTACCAATGACAACGGGCAAAGCAGGGTCAAGTTAAAGACTAGAATTGCTCGAGTAACGATGACGATGAAGGCAGTGAAAGCCGCATTCTCGAAATCTGTCATCTGGACCTCCATTGACCGGAACTCTGTCCGCCAGCCAATGTGAGGAGAGCAAGCATTGCTTGGGATTGGTGGTGGCTTCCACCGAACCGTCTGCCAGTTTGTGGATTGAATGCTCTCGAAATGATCAGTTGACTGGTCATCGTCCAGCTCCACATGGCCGTCGAAAACCACCAGTGGATCGCGAGTGAAGAGATGAGAGATATGCTTGGACAGCGCTTCATCAACCCCTTCCTGATAAAGCATTTTTTCGGTCTCTTCGTCGATCTCACAAGCGATGTCGTTGTAAGCTTTCGACCCGGGGTGGATGTAACAGGAGATAGAGTCATACCGGCTCTTGCTTTGCCTGCGAGTGCCATCCCCTGCCATACGTGGCTCCGGTTTGGACTCGCCCTCGCCACGCTCAGCCGGTGTGCGGTCATCTACTGACTGGCTGATGATGTTCCAGCGCACGTCAGTGGCTGCCAGTCGGCCCTTCACGACAGGCGTTGCAGCCGTGAGCGCCATCATGATTGGGGCGAGAACCGCAAGCTGATCGTAGAGGAGCCGAGACTCCTCGATGTCGCTGGCCTGGAATGTGACCTGAAGGCAGCAGCAGCCCATGCCGAAGGCCATGCAATCCATGTGGATGTCCGGCGCAGCCTCTTTTTCGAACTCCTTCGTGTTCACATCCTTGAAGAGCGGGACGCGAATGTCCACCTTGCTGCCTCTTCGTCGACGGATGTTGCCAGTGAGCGTCGCAAACCTCGGATGCGGGTTGATGCAAGTGTCCGGGACGAACTCCGACTGCGATGCCTCGCCACCCGGTGGAGCTGAAGGATCCACGAAGTCTCCGACGCCCATCAATGGGAAGGTCACCAGCGTCGGGGCAATCTCATCCTCCCGCAACACAGAGAGGAGTCTTCCCCGGCGAAGCCGCATATTCTGCTCGACACTTACGAGGCTCATGGTGTAGCCACCATATGGAAGGCTGGGAGTACCCTCGAGCATCCAGCTGCCGTATTCTTGATGCCAAGCACAACCTCGAAAAGCGTTCATGTCCTGCTCCTGTTTCCGCAAGCCCTCCATGACCTCAGGTCCTCGCAAACTCAATTGCACTCTCTTGCTGACCGGGTCAATCTTCAGCAATGCATACTCGATCTCGTCACCATAGAAGAGGCGGTCATTTGCCAAATGGCGTAGACGTCTGTACGTGGCCATGAACTGAAGAACCCCATGACGACGGATGTAGTGGCAATGCTCCAGGGAGTCGTTCCAGTGTAAAGGCTTTCCAACCTTCAGGAGGCCCATAACTCCACTCGCGTGCACCTAGCTACCCCATCTACACTAGCTTGCACCTGTTCCTCAAACAGAGCCAAGAAGTTTCATCCCCAGGCGCAGGCGTCGTTTCTCGCATGTGCCGACACAAGAAGGACTTTGACATACCACGGACAGGTCGAAGACACAAGGTGCACACAACGTACCCGCTTGATGCCTCGCCGCTGCCTTGGGCGAGCAAGCGACGATTGAACATGAGGGCACCTGGGCAAGGCTGGCGTAGAGGCTGAGCCGACATCGCAACTTCGAGAAGACCCCGACCGCCGCAAACTTTTCAGATCCCCTCCTGTACATTGCACCAGCCGGTGCGGAGTAAGTCATACTTGCATTCTAGGCCCTGTGCTCACCTGTGGGTAACAGGCTGCCACATGCCATAACTAACGTGGACGGGTGACACGAGAGGACAGCATTTTGTCATTCAATCTCATTCGGCTGGTTCACATTGCGAAGCAGCCAAAAAAGGCAAAGTGTTAAACGTCTAAGTTGCGCATGGGAGCATATGCAATGCTGACTCCTGGAGACAGCAGCTTGCGAGGAACAGTCAAGACCTGGCCATTCAGTCTGCCACTTTTTCGGAAATGTCTTGTGATTATATCTGCTCTTGCTCAAGATCAACTTTCATGCCAGTCAGTGCCTCAATGATCGGAGCGAGGAAAGTGACAGACATGAGGAAATTCCTGACTGATTTCGGCATTCTGATCCACTTCATATCGACAGCCCAACCAGTAACAGAAGATCATGACCTACGAGTACCTTGCCACCATGGCTCCCAGTTCCATCGGCCGTGATGGGAACTGTTGACCCATCCTGAGCTTGGGAATCCCAGGCCAGGGAAAGACAGCGAGAGGCTCTGCATGCCCTGCTCTCAGGCGAGCATCAGGCTCGACGAGATGTGCCACCGGCCAAGTAAAAGGAAAAGTGCCCTTCCAGGCACCAACCTTTGCCGGCGCCAGTTGAGAGAGCAATTGCCGACTCTGTGAAGAGAACAGCACAGAAAGCTGGCGAATCGTCTTATGCTCGAGTGAATGACGGTCAACCAACGACGGGAGGAGTTCAACTCAGGCTCCCGCCACCGTGACACCACCCTCTGACACGGTAGGTATGCGATCACCTGCGGAAGCTGCACGCGAGACACACGACTCTCTCAGTCAGCAGGTAATCAGAGACGTGGCCACTAGCCCTGAAGGGGCGTGCCAACCTTGTATCCTAGCAATGATGGGATGGTAGTCTTTCAACTGCAGCAGGTAGATCAGGAAGCCGACCGCCATAACAAGTACGCATGCGTGCGACACCAGTGTGACGAAATACACCTGGGATTGGCCAGGAATCAGCTCTGCAGTGGCGCTACATAGTCTGCCGAAAGGATGGCCCGAACAAGAATGATCCATCATTTTGAACAGAGCGTCTCTATTCCAGATTCCTGCATCCCTGAGCCGAGCAAACTAAGAAAAGCTTCGTGATCACTGGCCTGGCCATGCATGCTTAGGCGACTTCAGACTCCGAGCGGCCAATGCTTCTTGCAAAGAAGCCAGTACTCGATGATAAGACCTGTCTTGAAGATGCCTTGGCCTGGGCAAGGATGCGCTGCGGGTCGCCAGTGCTGAACCTGTCCTGTCTGAGAGTCGGACCAAACAAAGTAAACGCGAATCCAAGGGTGTGTATCATGCATTTGATATAATCATCCTCGGGTGTGCACCCGCAAGTAACGCAGGAATCTCGAACATGAAAACGCCGTCTGCTGCGCCAGCCAAAGAAGATGTGCTGTTGTCCATGACCATGCATGACTGGCTCAGAGCTCCAAGCGGCTGGCGGCACAGCAATGCACACAGTCATTGCCGCATTGCCAAGAGCTGCCCCAACCTGCGAAAACAGCTGTGGCATCGAGATAAACTTAGTTATTGACATACGCCAAACTTCCGCCATACCTGCCGAAGATGCTTGCTGTCAAGTGGCTAGCAAACATCCTTTTCTCAAAAGTTTGAGCCCACCGTCGTCATGGTGCGCCTTGAAAGCCTAGAAAGAGCAAGAGACCAGCTGTACACCGCACAGGTGACATTCGCATATCCAGCCGTGGTACATGCAGCGCTGCCGTCAAACAGACCTGGAAAGCTGTCTGCTCCTACAAGTAGAGGGGACTTCTGATGCAGCCGTGCAGAGGCAAAAGAGGCGAGGAGTCGCTGCGCTAAGGCACTGGCCACCGGCACACATAGCGTAAAGGCCGCAGCTGCAACTGGTCGGGCTGGCCAGGAATCCAAGCCAATACAAACGTTGTATGATTTGAACATTCCTCGGAATCGGGTTCCAATCACTGTAGTCGTCATGCCTCCCCACATCCTAATTACACTTGAACTCGCTCAGCGGCGTGTAATGTTGTTGTCATATATGAAAGTGGGCTGTGTCACCAGCGTGACTGCCCAGGCAAGACCGATCATTCCGAAGAACATAAAATCCTCGGACACGCGTGCGAACACGGGACGTCTTCCAAGCCTTAGGCACGAGCCGGTGCAGGCAAGAATCGAACAACACGGCAGTAATGCAGGGAGACAGGGGGAAGTCCCCCGCAAGCGTCCTGCCAATGCATGTGATGGATTGATTTATGGTTGGCTGCCGCCACAACAACTGGTGCTGCTGCCTCTGTAGGGTATACACATTCCACTTTGCATTCGCGACCTCATCTTCCATACCTGCGCACATGTTCTCTAAAGCTGGTGTCTCATATCCGTTGACATTCCTCTCTCAATTTTCAGTCTGCTGCCTGTTCGAGCCGGTTTCGGCGGCTCGTACGCATGTTGGGGCGTCTGGTTGAGCCAAAAGAACCGTTGTCATATGGTGCAACGTCTCCGACAAGGCAGCTGCACCACATAACACACAGCGCCAAGGCTGAGCGTCTGAGGGCAGGGCTTGGAGGCGGAGACAAGCGCGATTCCAATAAGTCAGGGCGGCTTCTAGTCTATTGATTCTACCACTATGGATTCCACTAAACTTGAATAGGGGCTGCCGTGTCTGTTGAGCCTTCAAGCGGACATGGCAGGAGCTCCGTCTGCATCGCATGCACTCAGGCCGAGTACCAGCTCTATCCCTTTGCTCTCCATGGTGGCTTTACCTGGGCGCTGCGAACCAAAAAAGCGCTTCCAAACCCAACTTCCGAAAAGAAGTGTAGACTTTGTGGGGCCCTGACCCTTGCCCTTCGCTTTGGCGCCTGCAAGAAAAGAGATCCACCGAGACTGAACCGACCTGGCTACAAGTACCTGCAACATCTGCAATTGCCACTCGCGAGATCTCGCGAGCGCTTGCGCTCGCCGACCTGGAACTTCAGTCTCAGCGCAAGGGCCCGGGCTTGGCCTCAGCATCGACGAGGAGTCTACGACAGGCTACACTGCGCTCTGCAACTCCGAGCCCGCAACAACCCTGACCAAACTGTGCCCACGGAATCCTGACTGCATCACTCAGGGTTCCAAAGTCTTCCATGCACCACAATGTTGCATTCTTGTTCGTGTGTGCGTTTGTGCATGGCTGACTGCACGAGGGGCCCGTCCTTTGGGTGGAAACCCCGCGCAACAGTTGCACAGACATAGTTTGACCTGGACTGAACCAGGAAAGTGCGCTGCGCTGAGCAGAGGTGCGAGCCACAACACCCACGAGGTCCAGGCAAGTCCCTTATGGTTTCCTTCTTGTCAACAACCTCGGCATACGTCACAAGACCGAGCGACGTGTCATTACCCTGCCGACCTGCTCAAGCAGTTGTGAGGCGTGCGGCGTGGGCAGCCGCAAGAGCGCCTGTCGCGCTAATGGGCATGTCGTGTGGCAGACCACAAGCGAAGAGCAAGCAAAGTGTGTACAACAACGGGGCCCCACATTCAGAGCTTCATGGTTGAGGTCTATGCCAGCCTCGAGAGCAGGTCTGAAAGTTTCCACCGCTTTACCTACCACGCGACCCGATCCTGCTCGGCTTTCCTCATGCCAACAGTGGACTGTAGCCGTGATGCTGCCACGTCCATGTCCTCAGGCATCGTCAGGGAAGAAGATTTCACTTACAAAATGGTGAACACAGCTTCGCGCGCGTGGGCTCTCGTTCCTGCCTTTTTGGGTTGCATCGATCCTGAAACCCGATAATCTCTGCAACTCCGCCACGGATAAGGCATCCACGTGCCAAGAGATTCAGATGCATCCACCGATGTGCAACGTGCTGCACAGTTACTACAGCTGGCAATCAACCACCCAATCACAGCTCACTACCTGCTTCGTCTCCGCAAAGATCAGAGTGGGTTTACATGAATCATATGAAGTGTTGTGTGGGCAGCGTACGGCAAAACTTCAGCAAGGGCGGCATACCGTCACACATTTTTTCTCACACATACAGATGAAGGCGCGGGGCATGAAAACAACGGCTCGACGTGTGCGCATCCGAAAATGCCGAACGTGGCCGAAGCCCTACCAGGAAATCTCCTGAATCCAGCACGACGTCGCTACTCTTTGCGCTGAGGCAAGAACCGGCATCACTGCGTTGGCAGGCGGTGGAGCCTCCGGCGAGACTTAAGCCAGTGACATCGACCCAGTCAGAAACCGTAGCAGACTGTCCTCGAAGCTCGCATGCCCTTGCCACGACGGCAGCTTAGCCTCCAGAAACACACATCCCATCAGTCCAAACGCTGCATCTCTGTCCCGACAGCGCCGCCTGGGGAACATAGCCTCTAGCAATAGTCGCGCAGACCTTCCAAGTTGACGGAAGTAATCTGTCCGCCGGAATTGAATGCGTTGCTTCGAAATCGAATGCATCACTTCTGTTGGAACTGGTGCATGTTGACTCAGGACCGGACATAATTTGAAGGATCTTTGAGATGTCCCGTGGCTGCCTGTAAAGCAGAAGTCCGCGAAAGACTTACAGACCACATCACAGCACTCGCCTTTCGAGCCACCACATCCAGGAACCTTGAGAAACGTGGAAGGGGAGAGGAACGCGACAACATGCGCAAACTTCCAACCCATGTTTGAAGGAGGCGCTCGATCGCCGCTTCCACAGGCAGACCAGACCTCGACTAGCCAAAAACACTGACATGAAAAAAGGACTTCTGTGAAACCATCGTGTGTCTTGCAACTGCTCAATTGAATTGTGCATGTCAATGTCGATCCTGCGAGATTTGCGCAGTGAGGCTGCAGCAACGCATTCGTAGCTGAGTCGTCAAGCTGCAGGCCTGGTTTCGCTCGAGGTGCTCGTACATGCCCGCAAAATGTGTCGTGTTTCAGGCTGTAACTGGCCGGAGGCCGGCCGTCGGCCAATGCCGCGGAAACCGAAGCGACCGGATTCCGAGATGCCGACCCACCAATGCCATGTGCTCCTGAACAAGGCTGCGCTCACGTGCACGAGGATCGAGAAAGGTCCAGAGGTTTTCCCATGGAAATACTGGGCGATGATGCCTGCAACATCGCCATGGCCAAGCAGTGTAAGACGTTTTCGAATAGTTTTTGGTGTTCAACTCTGAGTGATGTTACCCTGGCGGCTCAGCGCATAAATTGCCACCTGGTTTTCGTTGTCATGTGCGGTTGCTGGCCATAATGAAGAATGAAATGAACGGCGCTGTTGTCTAACATTGGGCGACACAACCAGCCCTCCACCGAACCGGTAAGTGGATTTGGCCGACTATCGCCTACGTCAAGCAGGAATTCACGTGCAACCGAGCTGTCTGGTCTCATTCGTGTGGAGAGGAAAAAAAGTGTTGCACCCGAATCGTCACTAGACGTCGGTACCGCATGTCCGGCCACACTCTTCGCCAGTTCAGCAATTCGAGGGCCTGCGTTTTTGTTCACGTGTCCGCGTGCTCTACGCTCTGCCGGGGCTGCACTACCTCTATTGAAACAAAAACTGTTTATTTTTTTTTTTTACGCGCCTTTTTCCGTCAGCAGAAAGGTCCCTGTCCTAGTGGAGTACGGTCACGGTCCCGAGTTAGGGCCGGTTCAGCGCAGCGGCAGGCGGCTCGGCCCGTCTGGGTCGGCCAGGTGCAGGACTTCATCCAGGGCCGGCGCATCGGTGTGTGCCGGTCCCGGCATGGCCCGGGCGCGCCCTAACGCCGTGTGACCGACGGCCTGCTGAACCGCTACGGAGAGCACGCTCCACCAGCGGCGGGCCCAGGCTGTCTTTGCGGACGCTCGAACGCAGGCGGGGCTCGGTACGCACGGAGTGCGACGAGGCGTTCACTGCGTCAGCGTTCCACCGCCCGCCCACTTCGCAGCCGAGCACGCAGAGGGCTTGTGCGCCACCTGCCGCGAGCTCAGGGTAGGTGGCTTGTTTGCGCCGGTAGGAGGTGCGCAGAATTGTTCCATCCTGTGCCGCCGCGCCTGGGTGGGGTTCGCCGTCGCGCGTGAGAGGCGAAACGAGGGTCGCATCGCAGCAGAGCGCACCACCCAGTGGCGCGGCGCCGTAGATGACGAGGTCGAGGCGCCTGCGGTCGTCGGGCGCGACGCCTGGCGCAGTAGTGTTGACGAGCCATTGTTGGGGCACTACGTGTCCCTCTGGCCCCACGGCTTCCCGTGCAACCTTGCACCAGGCCCGCTCAACAAGTTTGGCCCGCCTCGCCAGGAGGCCAGTACGAGGGCACGCGAGGGCATGGTCTCCAAAGGCATCTGCACGGTGGCCGCACCCAGGTTCCGAGGCGCTTCCGCAAAGGCCTGGCGCGAGCGGGAGTGGAAGCCGGAGCCTGCGACGCAACGCGATCAGCATGGCTTCGGGCGTGAGCGACGTGTGGGGATCGCTGGGGATGGCCTGCAGCCATGCACCGGCATGCGGACCGGCCTGGGAACGCAAGAGCGCGCGGTGAGGAGGCGGCAGAGAAGGCACCAGCACGTGGTCGCGGAAGAAAAGGTTCCGTGTACGCGACGCAGAGTGTTGCCACCCATGCCTCCATTCACCGGGCTCGGTGATCCCGTCAGGTCGGTTGATTCCTATGATTCCTATGTTGCTTGGTTTCACAAGCCCTTCCTGGCCGTCAACTGCTGTCCAGCCCTTGCAGCCGTGCGATGCCGCGCGGTCGGCAGCGCCCATGTTGATGGAGAAATTCCGAACAGCCGCCCGTTGTCAGCCTTTTGCCGTAGTCTGGTATGTTGACGTCGGGTATGTGCACTGGGACCACGAAGTGGACGGAAGTGAAACAGGAGCACCGTGGCTGGTTTCCAGAGGCGCCGCAGGGTGCGAGCCCGCAGTGGACCACGTCTTGGCGGCCGCTGAGCCTGCTGGCCCGAGCCTCCTCCCGCTGCGCTAAGCGCGGGACAAGCCCATCACGATGGGCCGCACGACCCCGTCACACGACTCCGCACAGCTGCATGCTTTTCCGAGGAAAGAAATACAACAGGTTTTTTTTTTTTCCACGCGCCTCTTTTCGAACAGTGACCGTGGTCCCAGAGCACGTTTCAGCTGCGAGCTACGGGAGGGTTCAAGGCGCCGGCAGGCGGCTTGCGCCGAGCGGGGGGCCGCCGCGGACCTCGGCGAGGACTTCGTGTAGGGTCTGGAATTAGTTTGGTAATTTTTTTTGAGGGGCATTTTTTTTTTTTGTGGTTTGCTTGGCCGTGTTGCATTGCCTTGCAGGGCACCGAAGATCGTGGGGGTTCCTTTCTGAGCCTGCAGATTTACAGATGAGGGTTTGGGGCGTTGGGATTGGGTTTTAAACTCAGGGCTTTGAAATCGAACCTGTGTATGGTGCTGCGTGCTCAGTTCTGATACCATGGATTGCTCCTAGGTTTGCTTCTCATGTTGCTATTGCTGCCCCTGTCGTGTTAAGTCTTGTGGCCCCTGTCAGCACCCTAAGCCGAAACCCTAAATTTAAACCCTAAACTCTTTGCACTAAACCCTACACCCCATACCCTAAACCCTGAACCCCAAACCCAAACATTTTCCGCGCCCACTCTAGGCCCACAGAACAAGTCCTACATCCGAAAACCTCAAATGCCGCCTAGCTCTAAACCCAACAAGACCCCTAGTAGTAGAAGTAGTAGTAGTAGTAGTAGTTGTTGTTGTTGTAGTTGTAGCACGTCAGCACCCTAAGCCGAAACCCTAAATTTAAACTTTAAACTCTTTGCACTAAACCCTACACCCCATACCCTAAACCCTGAACCCCAAACCCAAACATTTTCCGCGCCCACTCTAGGCCCACAGAACAAGTCCTACATCCGAAAACCTCAAATGCCGCCTAGCTCTAAACCCAACAAGACCCCTAGTAGTAGAAGTAGTAGTAGTAGTAGTAGTAGTTGTAGTTGTAGTTGTAGCACCAGTCGCAGTAGCAGTCGCAGTACCAGTAGCAGTAGTAGTAGTAGTAGTAGTAGTAGTTGTAGTAGTAGTAGTAGTGGTAGTACTAGTAGTAGCAGTAGCAGTAGTAGTAGTAGTAGCACTAGTAGTAGTAGTAGTAGTAGTAGTAGTAGTAGTAGTAGTAGTAGTAATAGTAGTCGTAGTAATGGCAATAGCAACAGCAACAGCAATAGTAAGAGTAAGAGTAATAGTAGCAGTGAGAGTAAAAGTAGTAGCAATCAGCAATAACAACAGCAACAGCAATAGCAACAGCAAGAGCAATAGTAATAGTAATAGCAATAGCAATAGCAAAAGCGATAGCAATAGTAATATAGCAATAGCAATCGCAATAGGAAGAGTAAAAGTAATAGTAATAGTTGTCGAAAATAGGGGACCCTCATAGTACCCATAAAATAGTAGGATCCTTATTGCGAGGCGCCCAAAATAAGGTACCCCTAATGCCCTCATTTGCTGGGTTTCAAAAAAAGGCATATGAATCAAAGCAACCCTGCACGGCTTAAAACAGCGGGGGGGTTGGGGGGGGCGCAGCCCCCCCCATTTGCAGAGACAACGTTCACATGATGGGCGGCGGGTGTTTTGTTCTTCCGTGCCTGTTCGTGTCTCTTCTTCCGTTAGCATTCTAACCTAATATATATAACATGGTAAACCAGAAGAACGACATAAGATGGTTCGACAACACAAAAATGGTGTGACATTTTCTGACATAACAAAACATTGCTTCTTATAGCATATAATAGCATACTAAAAATACAACAATACAATATAACGAAAACCCTCCCAAAGCCATTCAGGTTCTGTAAAACTCTATTTCACCCAAGCCCATACCCGAAACCATAACTCCAAACCCCTAAACCCTAGACCCCACACCCCCGGACCGTAAATGCGCAGACCTCAAGCCCAAAACCGGAAATTCCAGACCCCAAATGGCCCAACACCTCCGAGCCGCTGCATTTGAGGCACCAGAAGAAGAGGACAAAAACCCGTACGACATAAGGAGGCAGTATGCTCGAAGCTAGACAGTAAAGCCAAGAAGCCGAAAAGCCAAGAAGCCAGAAGCCAAGAAGCCAGGGAAGCCGAGAAGCCAAAAGCCCAGAAGCCAGGGAATCCAAGAAGCCAGAAGCCAAGAAGCCAAGCGCGCACGGCGGGGTTTTTTTTTTTTTTTTCGTTCTTTCTTTCGTTCTGCTTTCGTTCTTTCTTTCGTTTTTGCTTTCGTTCTTTCGTTCTCTCTCTCGTTCTATCTTTCTTTCTTTCTGTTTTCCTTTTTTTCGTCCTCTTTAGATACAGCAATTTTTGAATTTTTCCCAGGGGAAACACTGTTTTCATACGGATTCGTTTTCATTTCCTGAGGATTTGCTTGGTTTTTGGTTCGGGAAAACACGATTTTCCTACGGATTCCGTGGTATTTCCTTAAGTTTCTTTCTTTAGTTCTTGCTTTCGTTCTTCCTCTTGTTTTTGCTTTCGTTCTTTCGTTCTCTCTCTCGTTTTTTCTTTCTTTGTCTTTCTTTCTTGTTTTTAGATCAGCAATTCTTGAATTTTTCCAAGGGAAAACACTGTTCCTAGGGTTTTTTTTGTTTCTGCTCTTCGCTTTGGTTTTTCCTGGGAAAACACGATTTTCCTACGGATTCCGTGTTTCGAAACTTTGTGTTCTTTCTTCGTTCTTTAGTGTGTTTTCTTTTTTTCTTCTCATTTTTGTTTCTTTACTTACTCTCCCTTTTGTTTTCTTTAAACTTTAGCTTTGATTACTTTTTTCTGGTCTTGCATGGCTTTCTTTCTTTTCTTTTTTCTTTGTTGTCTTCTTCCTTCTTTCGTTCCTTTTTCCCCTTCCTTTCGCGGATACCCGTTTCTTTTTTTTTGATCCTTATTTAATTTTTTTGATCCTTATTTAATTTTTTTTGATCCTTATTCAATTTTTTTTGATCCTTATTTATTTTTTTTAACCTCTATCCCGCTTTACTACCTATTTTCGCCTCGGCTCGGCTTAGGGTTGAGGGCGTGACTTAAGGACTGATTTATGAGGCTCTCTATGCCGAAGAATAG